CATCTAATAAGGGCACCTGAGGCATATCCACAACTCTGCCACACTCCATGGCTGAAAAGACATCCGCTGAGATCAAATGCTCGGAGGAAGGATGTGTTACCGATGGCAACTGCCCACTTCCAGAGCACTGGGGCCAGTTTCAAGCAGGCACCTCAAGCCGTTGGAAATACACAATCTCATGCCACTGCAAATCATTTTGTAGCATCCTTTAAGGAGCCATTTCTCCAAGGAAAGCTGGGAGCCCTGCTGCGTAGCTGGGTAGCAGAGAGATGTTACCCGCCCGCTTCATCCACAGGAGCTGGGCCAGCTCTGTGATGCAATCTTCCCCCAAGTGGAGCTGCTGAAAATCCAGGTAGGATGAGCAGCAGGTGGAAACTAGGATAATACATAAAATCAGATGGTGACTTGCAGCCCATTAAAGTGGTGCCCACATCATTCTCTAAATCTGGCTGCTTCTCTTGCTGTCCAGTGTTCAGAGCTGCATGCAAAGCCAGCAATAAATTTCATCACTAAATCTCCTTTCTTTATAGGGAGAGACCTAGCAGATAGTCCCAAGACAGAGTTAGTCTGCATGAGGAAGGTGACTCACCTGCACCAGTCACTCTTGCTTCTGAAGTGCCATTGAAATCTCATTGGGATGCAGCATGGAGGAAGGAGCTTAGGAAGGCCATGAGCAACCCTTGGTTGTGCTCAAGGAAGAAAGCAGCTGACTGTACAAGAGCAAAACATTTGATGGCCACGAAAGTTAGAAATCACACTGGAATATGCTCCTTAAAACATGGTGCCCATTGCTTATAACTGCCAGGCTGTGTTACAGTCAAATTCCTAAGACCCAAGCCAAAAGGGAGCACCTGCACACAGGCTGAGCTCACCCCACGTTTAAGTCAGGACATGCAGAAAGGGCAACCAACACCTGTGGCTGAGGTTTCTCATTTCTGTAAGCCCTAAACCTCCAGTCTTTAATATGTGGCATGGCACCAGTGGTGCCCCCAAGGCTTAGCATCATGATCCCCTACAGACCAAACAGGGTGCTGGTGACCAGGAAGGGGCAGGAAGCACAAAGGGGGTAAAGCCAAAGCAATTATTTTGTTTTGGAAACAAAGAAATACTTAACAGAAATCAGAATGAGGAAAGCTGCCCCAAGCTTGTTCAGCTTTTTATTTCCAAGTTCTTCTGGGCTCCTGAATTACCTTCTGGTACCTGAAATGCCACGCTGATTACAGCTACCATCCCCACAGGTTATATCCTGAAAGAAAAATCCCATGGGATTGACAGAGTGCTCTGAGAAAGAGGTCCCCTTCTCACCTGCTCTTCAAAAGCAAGCAAGATAAAATAACCTGCACAGCCACATCTACAGAACATTCAGTCAGATTTAAAGTCTCAGTTTCCATCAAACCCTCCAATTCCCAGAGCCATTGTAATCCAGATGAGTCTGGCATTGCCATAAACTCACACCCTCCAGGACAGGCATCAGCTCTCTGCTTCCACAGCGTCTAAAACAACTCTATCAAAGTTCTGGACTAAGGCTTAACAACAAATATACTGAAAGCAGCAAGCAATATTGTTTAGAATTCCTGTTTTTACCCTAGATTCCCAGAGGAAACAACAAATTTGGAGGATCACCTGGCCAAATCACAATCAGTTGACAATACAACTATGTATATACATAGTATATACACGGCATTTGGACTGAGCAGGGGCGCAGCCGGCCGGGAGCGGAGCCGAGGGGATGCGCGGCAGAGCGGCAGTGGCTCCCGCTGGCCGCTCGCAGCATTGCCATCCTGGGATATCAACACAGTGGAACATATCCTCTGCACCTCTTAATGAATAGCCATTCATACTTCAGAGCAGTTGAGAAAGTTTCATCAGAAAGCTGTACTTCAGTTATGACCTCTGCATTAATGAAGAAAGCACAGAGGTGTACAGAGTCATGCCTCACCACATGGAAATGTGACCCAAGCACACTGAATCAAGAATAAAAAGCAATAGGCAGAACCACACTGTCCTGCCCATGAGAGGAAGCAACATTCCCACAGGGCAGGAGCTGATCTCTCTGGTGATCAGTAATAGGACCCAAAGGAATGTAATTAAGTTGTGTCAGGAGAGGTTTAATCTGGATATTAGGAAAAGGTTCTTCACCCAGAGAGTGGTTGGGCGCTGCAACTGGCTTCCCAGGGAAGGGGTTACACCACCAAGCCAGCTGGGATATGAGGATATGGAGATTGATATGAATAACATCATATACCTGAATACATTAACTGACTTCAGTAAGGGAAATATGAAGCACCGAATTAAAAGGAAAAAAAAAAAGTTTGGAAAAAAATTTCAGGGTCACTGAAGTCAAACTTGTGAGCCCCAGACTTTTTGCAACTTGGGAAAAAGTTCCTACATAGGTCCAGCTTTGAATTAATCTTTTGAAGATGGCAGGCACATTAATGAATCATTATTGCTGTGGCTTAGCACTACCCAAATCCATGTAAAGCTTAATTTGGAGTAAAAATAAGAAACCCCTCTGCTACTTACTTCCTATTTTTCCTCCAGCAGAAAATATTGTTTATAAATTTTGTTAATAACAAAAGTTATTAACAAGACTTTTGCTTTCTGACCTGTATTGTTTAGGGATGGGAGATGCAGTCACCAAAAAACCCCCAGATAAAACCAAACTGAAACTCACAAGTCAGACCATAGAAGATGTTCCAGCATCTTGACAGTTGAAATGGATTTGGAGGCAATTATTAACTCAAACAGCAGCTTTTTCACCAAGACAATGTCCAAAGGACTGGCTCAACAGGAAAATTTATTGTTGCAACTCAGTGTGGATTAGGTGACTCCAACATCCAGACACGAGAGCCTGCTACAGACCAGGAGGGAGTGAGCCACAGGGAGCAAAGCGTTCAGGTGGACCAAGCCCGAGACCTGCACACAACAGAACACACCACAGGCTGTAGTGCAGTTACCTGTGGGTGGTGCTGAAGAATTAGCAGCACCAGCCAGCAGCAGAGCACGCGCTGCTTTTACCATTCCAGCCAAGATGCTCTTTTACTCTCCATCTTGCAGCACATGGCCCAGTCCCTTGAGGAAATGGGAAAAGGCAGAGAGGTGCTCTCTCTTCCCATCACATCTGCCCATTCCTCACTCATGGAGCTCTATGCTATTCTTCAAGTCACAGATGTCAAGGACATACCAAGACGAGCCAAGCTTCTTCAAGTTATTTAAACTTTCCTCAGATTTACCTCAGTGCATTCAAGCAACAAAATGTGCAATTAACTAGAAAGGAAAGTGGTTTTTAATGGCTTCACCAGTAACCAGGGCCACTCAAACTACTGGCTAGCACTAGTAGTGTCTCCATAGTTACACCTATAAATACAGAACAGCGCACTGGGTTTGCATGGCAAGGTTTTGGCAGGGGGAGTGCTACAGGGGCAGCCCCTGGGAGAAGCTGCCAGAAGCTTCCCCTGTGTCTGACAGAACCAATGTCAGCCCACTCCAGCACAGACCCACCACTTGCCAAGCAGGAGCCCATTGGCAGCGATGGTAGATCTGGGGGAACAGATCAGCAAAAAAGACCCACACAAAAGCAATTGCAGCCAGAGAGGGGAGTATGTGAAAGGGACAGGTCTGCAGGTGTCCAGGCCAGTGCAGCAGAAACAGGAGATGCTCCAGGTGCCTGCCTTTGAGAGACTGAAATTTTAAGGGTTAATGATGCAAACAATCAGCCTTTTCAAAAGCAGCTGGTGAGGTGCACGACTTTAAACCAACTTTCGTTTAGCAACAAACTGTTCTTGAGCCAGAAGGGCATTAAGAAGCAGATCCTTCGAAGTGGGACAATGTTTTTTATCATGCAAATGTCCTCCCTTACACAATTGGCTGAGATGTAAAACTCCTCCTCCCTTTCCCCCCTCCCCTGGAAGGTATTGGGACATTCGTAGGCACGACAACATTCATCCCAGGCTCAGCTACTATGTGAGGCAGCTGTCATGGCTTGGTCATAAACCATCAAAGACCCCCGAAATACCCCCAGACCCATTTTGGGCCTGGACTGCACATGCTCCACAATGTTACCTCAAACAGTGGAAACCCCACCCCCTTCAGGGGAGGAACCTGGGTATTCCCACCACACTTGAAAATACTAACCCAGTAAACTTTTGTGTGTCAGGGGCACCCCCACCTCCCACAGATCAAGACTGTGATCATCACCTCGACTGAGGGGCACTGAAGTCACCCACAAGCAAGTTTTGTCATAGGATCCATGGGTGGTGGTTTTTCACCTTTCCCTTTTTTTTATCCCTTTCCTATACTTTTTTCTCATTATTTGCTTATGTATGTATTTTTTTATACTTCTGTGTTGTTATTTCTATAACTAACCAAAACAGCTACACACCTCCATTCCACTGCAACCAAATTATTCTTAAATTTGCCATCCCAGTCCTACAGCCCATGGAGGGCTCAGGGCTGTGACACCGTAGGAAGCCTACAGTGGAGCAGGCCCCTGGCAGGACCTGTGCCCTGCAGAGGAGCCCAGGAGCCCATGCTGGAGCAGGTTTGCTGGCACAACTTGTGGCACCATGAGGGACCCACGCTGGAGCAGAGGAACTGAGAGGAGCCTGCCCTCTGAGGAAGATGGAGCAGCAGAGTCAGCATGTGATGGACTCAGCCCCCATTCCTCATCCCCCTGTGCAGCTGCTGGGGAGGGCAACTAAATCAAGAGTAAAGCTGAGCCTGGGAAGAAGGGAGGGGTGACTGGAATTAACATTTGTTTTTGTTTCTCATTATGCTACTCTGATACAACTGGTAATAAATTACACTGGTTTCCTCAAGTCGGGTCTCTTTTACCCATGACAGTAGCTGGTGAGGGATCTCTCCCTGCCCTTATCTCAACCACAGACCTTTTATTATCATTTCTCTCCCTTGTCCAGTAGAGGAAGGCAGTGATGGGGCAGCATTGGTGGGCACCTAGCACTCACAACAGACAGGACTTCAAGCAGGAAAGACAAAAATTATTCCACTCCATCATCACCCTTTTATTAATAAAAGGACAAATCTTGACAGTGGAGAAAAAAGGATGTTTCATAAGGAGAACAGGAAGTAGCTTCTACTGGTCCTTCAGTTCCTTCAGTCTTCTGATGGCGGATTTGACTGTCACTGCAGAGGTGGTACTGGAGGAAGAAGCAGAATCTTTACATGTGGCAGAACAACTGTGCTGGTGTTAGTTTATTTTTAAGAAAGCACTTATCATTTCAAATTGTTATCATCTGACCGTGCTGTCCAGCAGGGTCTAACTCCACTTTTATTTTCCTGACAACAAAGCGTAGGCCTGGGTCCACAAAGCACATGGAACTTCACAGGCTACATCCCAACCCAAATCTCCCAGTCATGCACTGACCACGTGCACCAATGTGTGGGCTCAGATCCCTCACTACTGCTATGCGTGGGGCAGGAGTGTCTTCTACAGAACTGTGAGGGAAGGAGCTAAGAAGGGGAGTAAGCAACAGCACCCTCACAATAAAGGTCATTATAATTTAATTCTTTGCTTTTACAACAAAAGGAAAACATGAAAATAACTTTGCTTGGAATAAATCTGACTTCGCCTGTTGCAAAGAACAGCAATCAAATTTTAACAGAACAGGCAACTTCCCCCATTACTATTTCAAGACAGATCTACTTAATGATTAGTAGATAAAATTTAAAAAAAAGAAAAAGAAGATAAAAAGCTGTTTAATAACACAGCTATGTGAGAATAAATGCTGATTGGAGCTTCTTCATTTCCTTACTTGTAAGTCCAGGCACCACCAGCTACTGTCTTCATGCAGGATCCACAATGCCAGATACCCACAGCCTTCCTCTTCATTTTGGTCTGGAACAGAAGCAAAAAAGAAAAAATAAAAGTCACTCTCCATCAGCTCAAAAAGCCAAACAAGAAACTTCAGGCAAGGCCTTCACAGCACTCCTATAAGCCACGTTTAGACAAGAAAGGAACAGAAAATCCTTTTGCTCAAATTCTGCAGACACTTCTGAAACACTTTTCCATTCAGATATGAACTGGGTCATTTCAACAAAAATTCAGCTTATTTTGAAGGAGAAAAATAGTAAGAAGCTACCTGGGTTCTAACAACTGATATTCTCACCTAGTTTGGTGCTCATGTAACACCCCTGTTCCCACAACTCCCTGGGCAAGCCCAGCTTGCCAACCCAGACCCACTTCCAGCAGCATCTAAAGAGTGAGTGGTGGGTATGGAATTCCCTCACCCATGCAGGTATCCATCACCTTGCAGAGGTGACAGAAAGTTTGCCCACACCTATGCCTGACTTAGGCAGCTCTGCAGACAAGACTGTGAACATTCTCACTTCATATAAGAAAAGCAGTTAAGTTAAAAACAAACAAAAACGCAACAACAAATCAAAGCAAGAAAAAAACCCATGATGAAAATATTTTTAAATTTCCAGACAGTTTAAAGATTACTACTTTACAGATAACAATAAAAACATATGATAATAATTGCTTTGATTCTGTCAGGTCTATTTTAATAATTATGTAAAACATATCATATGGCAACATCACTCACTCTTTTGCATAATGAAATGTAATCATGTTTATTTTCATTTAACTACTACTAAACATATATTTGAAATGACTACTCTCTTTTTCAAGAGCTCCCAACAGCAGCCCAAAGCTCACTACACACTAGTCCCTGTCTTGGAACTAGGCATGTTTCGCTTCAGTACAAAAATGAATGAAGCACCATATCACCTTTCTAGCATCAATAACAATGTGATTTTTAAAGAGTTTTGGGAGGGGAAGGAGATATCTCACCTTGCCACAGAAAGAGCAGGTATACTTGGCATGCTGGCTGATTTCAATCTTCTTCACCATTTTCCGAAGGGACGCACCGTAACGTGTCCCATATTTACCAACGATCCCGACCTTCTTGGTGCGCTTGGCCTGTTGGGAGGCAACCCAGAATGAGCTGCAGCTCTACAGAGACGCTTTCCCCTCACCGCTCCCCTCTCCCGCCATGGCAGCTGATGCCGAGCACCCTACAGCCGGGCTGCAGCCTCCCCTGCTGCTGGGAAAACAGCATTCACAGCGTCAGGGAATGGGTCGGGCTGGAAGGAACCGCAGTGGCCACCTGGTGCAACCTCCCTGCTCAAGCAGGATCGGCCTGGAGCACATGGCACAGGACCGCATCCAGACGGTTCCTGAGCATCTGCACGGAGGGAGATGCCAAACCCTCCCTGCGCAGCCTATCCAGTGCTCGCTCACTCCACAGGAAGTTCTTCCCCGTGCTCAGGTGCACCCAAGTGCTTCTGCCCGTCTGTCCTACTGCTTGGCACAACTGAGAAGAGCCTGGCTCCTACCTCTTGACAGACCCCTTTAGATCCTCGTACGCTATTTTTGCTGGTTTATTATTATATATTTATATAATGAGATCCCCTCTCAATCGCCTCTTCTGAGGCTGACCAGGCCCAACTCCCTCAGCCCGTGCTGATGAGAGCTGTTCCAGTCCTCCGATGGCTGCCCTGCCCATGAGCATTCCCGATCAAACGCCAGCGGGCTGGCGCTGCTGCAGCCCCGCAGCTCCTGCCGGGGCACTTGGGGCCGCCGAGGCCGAGCAGAGCCCCGTCCGTCCCGGGGCCCGCTGGCGGTGGCACGGAGCGCTGCCGCCCCTCTGTCCCGGCTGCCATTCCCCGAACCCAGGCCGCCCGCACCCAGCGCGAGCCGGCTCAGGGACGCGGCGCATCCCCGGCCCCAGCTCCGCGCTGCCCCCCGGGCTCAGCACGGCGGTCCCGGTGCGGATGGCTGCGGATGGCGGCGGACGGGCCCTGCCTCACTCACCATCTTCCGTCAGCGCCGACGCGGAGAGGGAGCCGCAGTGCGCAGGCGCGGGCGGGCCGGCGCGGGCGGACGTGACGAGAGGACGGACGGGGCGCGGCCCGGGCGGTCCGGCCTGGCAGCGGGCGGGCGGCCCAGCGGGACCCGGCACCGCCCGCGGGAAGCACCGACAGCCGCCGGGAAAGGGCCCACAGCCCGCGGGAAGCACCGACAGCCGCCGGGAAAGGGTCGACAGCCCGCGGGAAGCACCGACAGCCGCCGGGAGAGGGCCCACAGCCCGCGGGAAGCACCGACAGCCGCCGGGAAAGGGCCCACAGCCCGCGGGAAGCACCGACAGCCGCCGGGAGAGGGCCCACAGCCCGCGGGAAGCACCGACAGCCGCCGGGAAAGGGCCCACAGCCCGCGGGAAGCACCGACAGCCGCCGGGAAAGGGCCCACAGCCCGCGGGAAGCACCGACAGCCGCCCCGCAAGGGTCCACGGCCGCCCGGCTAGGGCGCTGCGCTGCTGCTCACTGGAGACATTTCCGAGCTCAATTCCTGGGTTTCCACCGAGGGAAGTTGTGGGAATCCAGGGCTTCCCTCTGGCTGCCCTGGCAGGTCTGGGACCCTGGCAGGGGTCAGGAACGCCCCTGTACAGAGCCCCCAGAGACACTGGCTGTGATCTCTGTCCATGGAAAAGAGTTTTCAATCTTACAGGATGAATTACAAGCTTTGAGTGTTTGATAAGAGTAATAATTAAGTGTGGCACGGGTGCAAAAGTAAAATTTTAGGTTTCTAGATTAGGGATTCAGAGGGGACAAGATGGAGGAATTGGGTGTGTCTTGTCCTTTTCCTCCTTCTTCATGCCCTCCATGTTTCACTGTAGTGTTGGCATTTTTCTATTGGTTTAGGCTGGGGACACACTGTTCAACGTAGATGATAGATATTGGCACATTATTGTAAATATAGCACAGGTAGTTTCTGGTATTTAATGTTTGTAACATCCCACTGAGGGCAGAGCCCCACACGCTGCCCTGCAGGACAGAGCTGAGGCAGGGCAGCAGAACATGTTAGAGATAAACAAGAATAAACAACCTTGAAACCAGCACAGATGAATTATGGCTTCTGCTTTGGCAGCGGGGCAGAAAGACAGAGACTTTCTACAATCTCGCAATCACCAATACCCACAGATTCCGACAGGAAGTCACAGCAGAAAAGAGTGTTTCATTCATTCACCTGGTTTTTAAAGAGAATAAGCAGCAGGTAGATATCAATTCAGGGACAGGAAACGTGTCCACAACTGCAGAAAAAGTAAATAATAATATAGATATATAAATCAGCGAGGATGAATTCTTATCATAAAACACACCAGCCCTAAACTATGAGGTTTCAACAGTTCTGTCATCAGGTCAGGTTAAGGCAACTTCCTCTTTTCCTTGGGGTTACCCAGTGCTGAAATCATCAGCCCTGAAAGCCTTCATGTGCTGCTTCAGAGGTGACTCCCAGCACCAAAACACAAGAGGGAAAAATACACCAGTGCCACCAAGCTGCAATGCTTGTAAAGGGATTAGCAACCCATTAGCCTCCATTAGGAAATGTAATCCAGTTAGCATGAGAGTTTTCCATGTGCAGGGCAAGCTACGGTTCATCCCCTCCTGCCAGGAGAGGGCCGGACTAGGGAAACCGTCCCCATGTCATTGTTGCAGGTAATTTTCCTCCGAACCCACCCTGGCTGCCTCAAGCAATGACAGCACCCTTCACTTGCAATCTGTTTAGTTAAGAACGAATCAAGGAATCGAGTGTATCCAGCCACTGTTTTACTTTCCCTGGGTGGGATCTGTACTTTAAGAGATGCTCATGGACAGATGTCACATTCCTCCTTGGCTCTTGCTCTCAGGGTTTGAACACGGACATTTTTAATTCTCTCTGTCATGCCAGGCTCCCCCTTCCCTGATCATCCCTGCAAGCTCTTCTGGGAGCTGGTGGGCCAGAGCAATGTCTGAGATGAGGGCTCAGCAAGACTTTAGGCAATGGTATTTTTATCTCCCTCAGCTGAATCAAAATTTCATTTGATATATCCTACGAATATATCTGCCCTTTTCAGATCCTCGTCACAATGATGACTCACAGGATACAGCTTTGATACCAACGTATTAGAAAACAGAAAAGTTATTTCCTTTGGCTGCCTAGTGATGATATGGTTAAAAAAAATATAAATTATCAGCTAACATATCCAGAGAATTTACTGCTATTATCTGGTCTGTATCTACAGAGTTCAGGTTTGCTGTGACAGTACAGCACATGGTCATATCCATCATCTACCAGTGTCACAGGCAGCTCTAGCAACAACCAAACCCAGCTGCCCTGGCTGACAGCCATTCCCAGCGCTGCCAAAGTACACACACATTTCCAAGGGACTGAGAAGATGAAGGACACAGACCAGCACAGCCATGCCTTCATAGTCCACCCCCTTAAACCTTTCAGCTCATAAAGCTAGCCAGCCTGGGGCACACAGAATACTTAGTTGGAACTTCTCCAGCTTATTGTTGATGTATTTTAACCTGTTGTTGCTGTTTTAGCATCCTTCTTGAAAACACACCTTTCTCCAATGCAGGTATACAAGCAGGCATCCAGCCACAGTAAGGTGCTCTAAGATCCAGTAAGATGGGTCCTTCTCTTTCCTGTACCGGTTTTAGATAATGCCAAAAGGATACAGCTCTATTATCTTCAGCTGTCAGGTTCAAGAGGCCCCAGGAGTGCTCCATGTTCCTGTGCCTGCTGTGGGTCTCACTGGCATCCTACACACTGCCTCGGAGATGATGTCAGCAAGCCTTGGAGATCCTGTATGAGCCTGCTGCCAGCTGCCCTACCACCTCCTCACTATATTAATGATGGACTAATGGTGCCATTGGGTAAGGCCTGCAGTGCCTCCAGTCCCTTGAAGTAATCACTAACAGCACTTTGCTGCAAGGTTCTTCTCCCCTTTTTCATGTACTAAAGGATAAAGTGGATCTCAGGATCTCTTGAAAAACCTCTGTATCTGGGCAGAAAAACAGCTGACATTTTATGGGTCATAAGAAAGGGAAGTTTCACCTAGCATTCCTCTAGCAGGGCTGGGATTTATCAATATAACAACAAGATGAATCAAGATAATAAGAAGCAGAATTCTTCAAGGGTACTTTCAGTATATCTTAGAAAAGTACTGTTTTGAAATAGTTGCAGCTTTACAAAGAAGAGAATTACTCCTATAGGAGACAACAATATAGGTACTTTATATATATATACATATATATATATATATATATATATACAAATAATGCCTTTTTCTTCATTTTTTTTTTCCAGTCAGCAGACAGCAACATTTCTTACCCCTTACTCAGAACAACTCACTCATCCTACAGACAGATTAAATACTCTGTGGTCAAGATGACAGATATTTAAAAATGTCAAAAAGTGTGTCTGCATCACCTGGGCAGCTGTTGAAGTAAGAGAGCTCTCTTACCATCTCTTGATGGCTAGCTCTCAGCCTCAAACCCAGAGATAAAGCATTTCCTCCAGCAGCCCAGTCACAACAGCCCTTGCTACTGCTCACACCCCAAAGCACCATCTGCAGTCTCTAATGAAAAGCAGCTCTCCACCCAGCACAATTGTACACGCAGCCTGTGGGGCATTTCCATGACGACACCAGCTGAAAATGGAACAATCAAACCCTTCAATGCAGGAAAAAATACCTAATGTTACCAGGTTGATCTTACAGCACAAACATTTTTCTCATCTGCCTTGCAAGAGAGGTATTTTTGTCACTGTGGTATCTGCACAGAACCAAGCACATCAGCTCCACAGCACGTTAGCTACTGGCCTCCAGGAGCTAAATGTAAGCCTTCAGTTTGCCACCTTTTCTACAGATTACAGCTGTAAAACACAGTTAAGTGGGAGATGGAATGCTAAAATACAGAAAGTAGCAAAAGCTTGTGAATCACAACTTAGAAAAACTTACTATTTAAACAGTTCAGTCCAGAAGCAGTTTCTTTCAAAACAAGAGCAAAAGTATGCCTGTGTCCTCTTTTCCTCATTCACCTGTAGAAATCAGTCAAATCTTGAAGAAAACACACACCCACCCACGCCATCTCCCTGAGAAGTCAGGTTAATCCCTGGCAGTCAGCACAAGCTTCACCCCCCACTGACAGAATCACATGCCATGGAACAGGTCCTAAGATTCAGCACAAGGCCAGAGAGGAGTGTGCAGAGGCAGGCGTGCCTAAAACAGGCAATGCACACTTACTGGCACACAGCTACATTACTTAGCTTCAAGGTGGTAACTTCCTCTTTGCCCTCTTCTTCCCCACCCCCACAAAGCATCAATATCTGTTTGGATCTTTCTTCTTCATGGCCAAACAGAATACCCAAGAGCCAGTCTGTGAGTGATCCAAGTAATAGCCCAATTTGCCAATGAACAAACTTTTGGAAATGGAAAATTCTGTAGCTGCTGATGAGTTGGGTTTTCTCAAGAGTTCTGCCCTGGGGACAGACAACCATTATCTGCTTTTTAAACAAAACAACTATGGAAGCTGACATGCTGAAACGCAGCAGAATGATACTTGCCCGTGTCCATTCAGTCATCAACAAAACCAGGACTGCAAACCCTGCAGCTGCCAGATGTGTGCTGCACATCTGTCACACTGTCAGACTGCCTTCTCATCCTTTGAGATGAAACATGCCAGATGCAGAAAACTTCAAATTTTTTATTTTCAAAAAAATTAAAAAATAGTATGTGATTGCTTTTGGTTTTTCTTTTTTAATTAAAAAAAATTATCTCTTAGCTGCCATCTTTAGCTGTCACAATTTACACTTCCTCAATACGCCGCTTTTTTTTCGGACTCACTGAACATGTCTCCGCTTCTCTGTCTTGCAAGGCACTGCCAGAGTCAAACTCACAGCCAGCATCAGCTGCCTCCAAAAACAAAATATCATCAGCATCATCTCTGCTCTCAGAGAAGGTCTTTTGGAAAAGGTCGTAGATTGTCTTCTGCTTTGGGTCGGTCTGAGGAAACAGAAGAGAACAGGATCTGCATCCACACTGTTATGCAAAACATAGTGAGCAAAATCAGAGGACACTCCCTTTACACAGTGCACATGTGTGTACAGATCATACCTTACATGATACATACCCATATGTATCTCATACATGATACATACCCATATGTATCTCATACATTATATACTCAAAGATGTATGACATGGATGCTAATGGGTCTCCTTGCAAGTAGCAGGCTTGGAACTCCTATGGAGAGTCCAAGCCAAGGTGTGGATCCTGGGAGGAGCTGAACAATCTGGTCTGTGACATTAAAGGCAGAACAGGTGTAAGGCCACCTGTGCCAATCTAGATGTACACAAGCCAAAGCCCATTCAGCCTCTCCCAGGAACCACCAATATTCTTTCAGGTCAATTACCTTAGGACAGTAATTAGTTGACTCAGCTGTTTCAGAGAAATTGGTTTCTGAAAGACCAGCTTCACCCAGCACTTTGATCTTCTCCTGAATCATTGGCCTAGGAATGATAAACGGATATTACTGAAAGGAAAAAAATCAAGGACACTGCTTAATTTACTATGTGTAGATTAAAAAAGGATACAGCTGGGAATAAAAATGGCTTTTCTACCAAACTTTGTTGGTTCCTTGACTTGTCCTGCTCTTGGTTATAATCACTGTATACTGTCTTGAGATATCAATCAATTCAATTAGCAACAATTAGAGGATTTGGGGCTATAAACATTTAGAGAATACATACATCTAATAGAGAAACTAGATGACTGAGGCAACTCCAATGGTATGAACTCAAACCAAGAAGATACAGCTAAAAGGACTCCTAGTAGCCTGTGTGCTCAGCCTCCAAGGCAAGCAATGGTAAACCCCAACAACAGATGCAGCAGCATTTCAAGGATAACTTCCAAAGTACAGCAGGAGGAAGAATCCATCACTGGCCCAGAGAGGCTGAGAGGTCCCAGCCACACCTGCACACAAAGATGCCAAGGCCACAGCACAATTAGTGCATTTACCAAATAGCCTCGTCCTCTTGTTCTTTTTCTTGTCTTTAAAAAGATGCCACTGTCTTTCGAGAACCATATTTCTTCCCCATTAAGCACTAATGACTACACAGACAGCATTTCACAAATAAAGGGAGAATTACTGTCATTAACTTTCCATGGAATTTGGGTGATGCATCAGTTTCCAGATCCTTGCATTGTAAAGGTTATAATTACTTGCCATCGTGATATTCTGGGAACTGCACAAGTTCACTTAGTTCATTCATTCCTTTAAACAAGGTAATAAAGATGTAATTTTGGGCTTTAAATGCAGCAGCTGGTGGATAATTTCTTGTCATCATTTGCAGGTCAGCTCCCTTGCAGCACTAAAGATTCCTCAGATCCTGCCTACCTCCAAATGTCAGATTCCCCAGCCCTAAGGACTAATGTCCACTGGTAACTCTCACTGGAGCCAAAAAGCCTCATACCACAACTATCCAGAGGTGAGTCAATAGCACTTTTTTAATCTATTTGAAAGGCTCACTGAAGAGCGAGAGGAAGGCAACAGTGCAGTCCTCCTCCACAGCTCCCAGTCAAAGCACACAGCAGCCAGACTGCTCCTCAGGACTGATCTACAATACACTGAACCATCTCCAGTGTTTGCTGACTTTGTTTGAGTTTCAGCACTTTACAGTACCCTAGCACAGGAATGTTCTGGGCTGGTATCTAAGACAATTCCTCCTTACACAGACATTATGAAGGTTTTAGATGCATCAGCTCTCCCACAATTTCTTTTGAGAGTCCTTTCTTTGTCAGGTAACCGCTTTTATTCCTCCTGCTTGTCAGCCACTCAGTCATGTCCACTGCAGCCAGGCCATGTCACCAGCTTGCAGCAGCCCAGGCACATATTGATCCCCCCCATCACAGGCCATGGAAATCAGCACTAGCATTAATCCCTCACACCACATATGTTACAAACAGGGGAAATATACGTAAGGTGAACCATAGCATCCTTCTCACTTCTTACCATAAGTAGTCATCTGCTGTGCCTTTAGCCACCAGGTAGTGAACATTAACAGAGCTGGTCTGGCCAATTCGGTGTGCCCGATCTTCTGCTTGGATCAAAATCTTAACGTAAAAACATCACAAAAAGTGAAAACTACAACATCTGAGAAACAGTGTAAGCACCAGAGAACAGAGGATCTCATTTCTTCTGCTTAGCAACTCTCTTATCTGGATCCTGTTAAGACCTGTATTCTAGAATAAGCCAAGAAGTGATCTGGTACACCAGGTTCCCAAAAGGCACTCAACAGTTTTCCAAATTAGAGGGTCAGCACTGATGATGGACCTTTTCAAGTGTTGGCTGAGTAAACCCTTAAGAGCTCTGTCAAATAAAGACAGAAGTGTGTTTCCTTTTTGCGCCACCTTCCTCTGCCAGCAAGCTGTGTAAACCAGTCTCACAGGTTCAAGCCCAGGCACCTGTGGTTGCAGAGCCAGAAGACATCAGCAAAAGACAAACCCTAGAGAAAGTTGCCTGCCCATTACATCTCCTAACCAGCAATGTTTCTGCTCTCCAGGGAACATGCCACCCCTGTCCCCTCCAGGACACTCACCCCTGGGTTCCAGAAGAGCTCTGCAAACACCACCAGATCTGCAGCACACAGTGTCAGGCCCATGTTTGCAGCAGTAAGGGAAAGGACAGCCACAGCATGCTTCTCTGCCAACTGGAACTTCTGGCACAGAGACTGCCGCTCAGCTGAAGATGTGGAGCCATCGATGCGAATGTGCTCGATGTGCTGTGAAAAGGCAGAAGGTGCTGTTTAGAGACCTGGTGCCCCCCTTCTTGTATACTCCTTCCATGTTTTAATGGATCCCATGTCCAGTGCTGCCAATGAGCAAAGTCACCAGTGCCACTGTGGGTTATAGCCCGGAATGTTATCTTAAATCATTCTTCACACTGCCCCACGTGCTTTAGAAGCATCTATGGAAATCTCACATGAAAAGTTAGACAAACAAGAGAAGTCAAGAGAAATGACTGGCAGGTCTATCAACTCTCCCTACAGTATCTTAGTTCAAAAATGTAAGAGCACCACAGAGGTGCAGGCAGGCAGGGATGGTGGGCTTGGGTAGTCTCATTCTCCCTTTGAGAAAAGCCTGGAGAACAACAGCCACACAGGGCAACACAAGAATTCCCAAGCTCCAGGGCAGACAGTGGAATTAAAGACCAGTAAATACAATAAAAGCCATTCAGCTAATACAAAGTGCATGCTGTGAGGCATTCACCCTGACAGCTCAGCTCCCTTGGTGAAGGGCACACTCAGAAGCACAGCAAGTAGAAATCATCTCTGTCATTAACTGTCCTAAACCATTTGACCAGCCATAAATCCAGGGGTCTATTCAACAGCTTTGAAGCTGGAACAGTGATAAAGTTAAGACTAATCAGTCACTTACTTTCTTCTTCAGCTCTGCAGCTACTGCATCCAGCATTATCTTGTGATGCGCAAACACCAGGAATTTATTATTCCCACTTTCCAGTAACTCCAGGATGTACTCTCTACATGAAAAAGGAAAAACACCAAAACACTATAAAATTATGTGCTGAGAGAATACAGACTTTGCTCACAACAAATTTTGAAGATACTGCCCATCTATACACAAACACTAGGAACCAGGCTAGCATAAAAAGCTGCAATAAAGTGCAAGCAGCAAGTCAAGTCTTCTATAGATTAAAATACAGAAAGGAAAATTCCCTCAGTTTTTCTTCACCACAGGCAGACAGCTGCCTACATTATACTTGGGTGTCAAAGAGAATCAGTTTATTATATCCTACTTGGAACATGACATCCCACACCAATCAATTAAAGGTCATCTATACTTAATTACAATCTCACTCACTCATCTTTTATTTCTAACTTCTGCACAATCACAATACACTAATCTGTGTGCAGTTAAACTTCCCAAGTTTACTTGGGATTGCTTTTATTTCAGAAGAAACACCTCTAAACACAATGATCAGAAAAAAATACCTTTTCTTGCAAGGGTTCCCACTGACAATTTACTCCAGCTTAAATATCTAAATTTGTCAGCTATTTCTAAGAGTTATCCACATTCATATAGGCTAATGGTCAATGAGAGGCAACAAGGCTCCTTTTAAGTGACTTAAATGAAAACATCCTAGCTTTTCCCATGGACTAGCAACACAGCTATAGAACCCATTTCTAGGTAGTAACTTGTATTACAATCAGGTTAACTGGAGCCTGAGGAACACTTAAAAGCCCATACAGATGATGTAATTTTTTTCTTTGGAACAGCAAAGTTGTTGAGAAGATCAGGAATACCAAGACCTTTGCAAAAGTCATCACATCTAGGTCAGCAGCAACTGTCACAAAGGACCAAGAAGGATTTCCAGCACTGTATTAAGATAGCAGAAAACTTTGCAGGGCTCATAATATTCAGATACCTATTACATGACAGTATTATTTTAACAAAGAAATCTGGGAGAGAAGTGGGGCTGCAGTGTTTGAAAACAAGTATCAAAGCAAACATTCAGAGTAGTAAGGGGATCCCAACCAACACAACACAATTATTTTGTATCTCATTCCCACATTCTATTTAACAAATGGCAAGTCATTTCAGTGGAAGCAATGGAGGATAAGGGGTCATTAAGGGTAAGACACAGGAGGTGCTGATGATCATAGGACAGTATCATTAGTTAGATGGTACTGTACCTTAGCAGCTTGTAGTAACTGATATTTTAAATGCTACTAAATCCCAGGAAAAAATGGACTACTTCCTACTAGAGAGTCAAATAAACAGCACTTTTTGGTTTTATATTCAGTTCGCACTTGTAACTGAAATAAAAACATGAAAGTCTTGTAACTGCTTACTAACATAAAAGGAAGAAACTCTACTACAGAAATGAATGCTGGGACTATGAAGTACAGTTCTGTGCCAAACAAGCAAGTTTTGCAGCAAGGTCTGTGACTGTGAAATCACACAGTGCACATCTGTAGGTCCTTACATTCAGAGAGCTGTGGAAAGTAAACCATTTTCATATTACCATATTACTTATTAGACCTAAAGCAACTCCTTTGCAGTTCCAGCAAAAAGGCTAAGGATGAAAGGGCACTGAAAGAAATTACTTCTAGGGAAAAGAGAGTTAAAAGCACACCTGTGGCACAAAAATTTTACTACTGATGTCCCACATGAGCCCTGTGGAAGAGCCAAGAACTTCAGTAGGAGCTGTGAGATTCTTAAAGCACGCTACAACTAAAGCTAAGCCCATATCATAAGCTTTTTGGTTCAGGATTCCTGCTGCAGCAGAACTGCAGCATTTGTTTTCTCAAATTCTGTTGATGCTTTTAGTTTCCTTACTTCCCTGCTCCTTAAATTGAAAAAGGGTCCATATCAGGGAATTTGATCCAAGTCTGAAACACAAAGTAATTTTAAATTATTCAAATGACAGTTTAGATTTGTATCTGGAATGAAACCAGAAGACTTAATTCAGCCAAAGAACCCCAAGAGAAGAAAATGTTTCGTGCATTGTAATTACAAGAAAGTTTTTCTAGGCTGACTTCAGGCTATGCTTCATGTCCCTGCACTGTTATCTCTAAGGCACTGTCTCCCTGTTCTCAGCAGAAAACCACATTTTACTGGGCAAGAATGAAGCAGTGACACGGAGCTTACACGACTGAGTGGATTTTAGCTTCTGCTGTTCTGCTGAAGTAGACGAGAAGGCCTTCCTTCTCCTGTTGTTTCTGTAGATGGAAGAGATAGACAAATTTGAGTCTCAAAAATGCCTTCTCTCCTTCTTGCATACAGATCTGGTATTTCTGCTGCTGCCAATAAACACTTTGCTAGGAAAAAAATCAGCCTAAAAAAGCACAACAATAGAGGCCTGGGGCGGGGGGAAGTCTCCTACTCGCCGTTAGGTACAGCAGATACTCACAGCCCCGACACCTCCCTCCCTACCTCCCACTCAACTCCTACGAGTTGGATGACAAGTGCATCACAAATGCAGTTGTAGTTGAGAAAACGTGTCCCAGCTAAAATGGCAAGGAAAAACCCCTAAGTTCTTATAGAAATGTATTAACAACCTAGAAGCCTAGAACAAGCATTTTCCACCCATACAAGGAAAACAAATAAGAAAAGCAAAAATAAACCCTTCGCATTTTTGGCTACTGTTCTGTTCACAACTCAAATAAGCCTGTTTTTGTAGGGTAGATGAGATTGCAAGGCTAGACGGGAGAGTAAATAGAGAGGCAGGAGATATGAAAGACAATTAGAAATTACTAACAAGAGAAAAAAAGAGAGGAAATGGTATTTCACACAAAGGGACAAAGTAGACCACTTAGATCAAAAGCAAATCAAGCTGAGCTAGTTTTGACTGTGCTGTACACTCATTTAAAACTGTGCCTTCACATAAGGTGTGGCTCTGACCTTTGGAACTCGGGGTACTGCTTTTTCGCAAAAAAGTTTTTTAAAATAGAAGTACCTGAAATTGCAATGGCTCATCGTGAAAATAAGTTTCTGACTTACACTTTCATATCCTTTGGCCATCTTCTTTGCTTCAGCTGCCAAGGCAGCTTTGGTCTTTGCACTAATGCCTTCAAGAGCCACCACGACCATTTTGCGTTGCTTTGCTGGAAGCTGGGAAAGCACATCTGATTTCAGACGTCGGATCATGATGGACTCTTCCAGCAAAATTTTCAGTTCCGTTAAGTTGGATGATCCAGAGTAATCCCAGCCCCATGGCATCTGGGAAAGATCAAAGCAGTTATCAGCGTCAAACTTGTAAGAGACTGCTCTGCGTATGATCCAAATGCAGAATAAATTTCCAGGGAATCTGGACAAGGCAAGAACTTGGATGGTCAGCAGATTTGACAAAAAAGGCAATAAGGTAGAAGCATACAAACTAATCCACTCAACATGAAAAGGTTACTTAGAAGCTTCCCTTTTTTCCTATCTACAAGAGCCCAGGGAGGTGCAGGGAAGAAGACTATGCAGAAAGGTTACAAGAATCCCTTCTCCAGCCCTGTGCCCTGATATTCCCTCTCACACAGCAAGGTGTTGCTGCTCTCCACTTGCAGCTTTGAGCAGGCCAAAAGAATTCACTGCAGTTCTGTGTATGCACATTTATCTCAGCTTTAAGCAGAGAGACACACAAAAATATTCTCTAACTGCATGAGGACAAACATCCTTAACCCAGATGCCTTCACAGAGTTGTTACACTTGTCTGACATGCTAGGTCAGAACTGCCTGTTCTGCACTGTGACCTGACTCCTGTTCTGCTTCCTGGCATACTCTGTTTCTGCCATTACTGTGTTTGGCTCAGACTCAAGCAAACCAGAAATAAACTGCGGCCCAAAAGACATGACTCCAAATATTATCTCTTCAAAGTATCATCACTTCAAAGCTCCTCTGAACAAGCCATTCATTTACTCCTTCTTGAAGCACACCCCTCTGAACCTGGCCTATCTTTCAAGATGCTGTATACAAGCAATATACACCTGTTCAACTAAGCTCAGCTCATCACTTCTCCCACCAGCACCCTACAGCCTATCTACAGCAGTGGCATCAAAATTGGTACAGTCCTCAAAAGAAGCATCTTTCAGACAATTGTCTTTCAGAGAAGAGACCAATACAGTTTTAATGCTGAAGCAAGGGGGAAAAAAGAAACCTTTCTGCTGCAATTTCACAAATAAGTATAGAGAATACAGCTACAGGAACACCAAAGACCAAGGTGGGGAGAGAGGTGAAATCTTTCTCATAGCTCTAGCTCTAAATAATATTGGGAGTGTCCAAAAATACAACTTCTGGTCTTGGAGTAACAATCCAAAGCAAGCCACTACATATACCCTCCTGAAATGCATATAATGGAGATGTGAGGAGCCTCAGCACCTCGACAGCTATATTAATTGATAAAATAGACTTAACCTTAAATATCTCTATTGATTTTGTCTTCCCCAAGAGAAAACTGCTACAACACATAAATGGAAGTAAAAGAGAAAGATTCACTGCATCCTCCATCCTCTCCTAGAATGCATGAGACAAAAATAAATCATAAGGTTAGTCACGCTACTGACTGTATTAAGGGATGGTGCTTGGATGAACGGGATGAGAACACACTGTGGAACAGGAAGAGGAGGCATCAAAGAGCTTATAGGCAAGTAAGACCTCTCTGGTATCCAAAACTGAATGTTCCTACTTCAGACTGAGATAAAACAATCTGCAATCCTACTGCCATATTGTACTGATGTGAACCATTAACTGACTTCAGATTCTGGTACTTATGGCTATCATTAAACTCATCTGACTTAATCTATTCCTACATAATTATGGCATCAGCTGATTAGCTACAGTTGGTTCATTAAAGCAGGAAACAATTCAAACCCTAGACACATAGCCAGTTTGAATTCTGTAGAATTAAAACTTTGACTCTGACAACAGCCCAGTGGTGCAGGGTTAGGTTAATAAGCCCAGCTGGATCTCAGCCAACCCCCTAAAAAACCAGCATGGGTATCACTGCTCTGCTTCCCTGAAACGGAGCGCAACACAGATGCATCCCTCAGGCCCACAGAAAGCTAGCTCAAGTCTACCTGGGTTAATTAGCTTTAGGCATTCTGCACGAAAGCTGACATTGCTGAGCCACAGTCTTTATGCTCCCCTTCTGCATTTCTCAGGCTCCCTGGGCCCAGCAGAGGAGATGGACAGAACCAAGAAGGACTCCCTGGTGCTGTGCCCACTGCCCACACTGTCCAGTGCACTGGTAGGTGAGTAGGAAGGACCAACATGATTAGGCTGCTCAGCAAGGCCTGCTGTGGGGCCTGGATAGTTCTCAGGCTACCTCTTGCCACTTAAAAGCCCATGTTTTCCCACTTTGCACTTCATAACAAGCAAGTATACATATGCCCTGTGTCCACATAGCCAAACTGATTTCAGAAGAGCAGCATCCTCATAAGGCAAAGAACAAGGCACAAACAGAGCTAAGATACCATCTACTGTCATGTTAAAAAGCACATATAGGCACAGTCCCCACAGCATGTTGAGGTTATATATTGCTTATAGTGATGGAAAGATTTGCATACAAGGAAACCTTCTAGCTCTGTGCTGCACCTAGCTGGTTATAAAGAAATAATTACTTTTGGAATTATTAAAATTTACTTTAGTACGCCCTATTGTGGAAAAGAAAAGAGAGGGACATTTATTTTGCCAAAATACACATCTGACTTTGATCCATAACATTCCAGAACACATGCTTCCAACTGTGATTTTCTTACCAAAGCATTACAGCATCTTACATGAGTCAGTAAACTTATTACAGTGTTAGCAGAAGCTGCCAAACTCTTACAAATTCAGAGCATGTGCTCAGCTAGAAATTGTTTAATATTTGCCAATGTCAGCCAATTTGAAAAATGAATTCACAGCATGTATTTTGGGAAACAGTCTTGGGACATCTTGTAAACAACAGGTGACATTTCACTTGCTGCATTTTCAAAAGTACAGAAGCTGTGAGGTTGAATTAATAAAAATTTATAAACTTCTGTAACTTTTCTAATCAGATCTGCCAGGTATTTGCAATTTTCTGTCAAAATCTTGAAACAGAAACTAGTCAGACTTTAGGTTTAGATTGAATGGATCAGGTTTGCCAATTTTTCTTTATTCTCATAGTGCAATTGGATTTATTATAATACTGAAACATTTTTTACATAACATCCTTCATCCTTAGACATCTTCAAAAGCCTTGCAAAGACTCTGCAATTCTACCTCCACTCATAATGCCTCCAGTTTCAGGACAGAAAGCAGAACTTATTTGAGTACTGACAGCAGAAGTACCACAACAGTTCTTCAGAGAGGATGGAACTCCTAACAGAGTCAGGGATACTCTGCAGTCATGAAGGAACCAACTACAATCACCTTTTAAATTTTCTCATTGCCAAGTGGATCTATGGCAACCCATATTCAGCAGTCCCCTCTTTTTCTCTAATGCTATCTACGTCTCTTCATTTCCAGCAGCCCCACTTCTCCAAACAACCAAATTCCTCCTAGGTTCATGCTATCATTTACTGACATTAACTGTAACAAAATGTCCCAGGTCAGTATGGAGAAGCCCAACAATGTTCAACTGTCCAGGAGAGGCAGGTCAAACATAGAAAGAAAATTGTACTAGAAATCCTGAAAGGTTTTGAACGGAAGCTGATATAGGATTGTGACCTCCATGCTGAGTTTCACTGAAGGTTAAAAAGTCATTTACACTGTTACAACCTGGATCCTGTAAAACAATTTTATTTTTTTTATCCAAGGTTCATCTGCCTCATAATTTAAATGACAGCTAATTGTGCAGAACTTTACCCTTAACAGGGCTTATCAAACTCCAAACCTACTTAGACTCACATGCTGCAAATGAACTTTCTTTTTTACTTAAGAAAACCAAGAAGATTAAACTGTATCTCTATTTCCCTCTAGGAACCATTCTGAAAGGAATGCTCAGAAAGGAATCGTTCAGTTTTGAAGATAATGAAGCTTACCAGAAGATGTGGCTTCTCCCTCCATATTATTCCTACTATGGATGGAGAGCCAGGACTGAAGCTCTGTGATTCTGCATGCTAATGGCCTTTCTCTAATCAATGGCATTAGGACTTGACTTCCAAAGCCAATTAAGTGCTTCTCTGACTTGCACACTTGGACAAACACATAACAGCACTACACTAGCTATGAAAGCCAAGTGGGCATTCAGATCTAGGAAAAAGGGGATTCAAGAATTTTATATGAGACTGCAGTAAGAATCTTCTTGGTGGAAACTTGGTATATGTCAGCTACCCCAAACAGAAAGGAAAACACAAGAGCCCTACAAATAGCTGTAACTATTTTTATGGCATACACTGATAATATTCAGTCTTCAGTATATATTTTTGAACACTGAAATGGTCATTTGGTGTTTCCAACCACTTTGCTGAACACTCCAAATTAGAGCTGTAGGGAGATTTTGCATCCCTCTTTTGCGTCTATGCAACCAGCACAGAAGATCCTAGAGCCTCTGTGTACAAGCAACAGCAGCAACAGCTCTTCTCTTAGCAGTGTGTGTTCCAACACACACAACAGCCCTAGGGATGGCAAATCCAAGTACAGGTGAGTTGCCCATACCTTGGCAGACATTTGCTATTGTGGCTACAAATGCTGGCTTTGTGCAAAGCCAAATTCTAGCTGTGGTTGGACTCAGTAACTCTGTGGAAACAACTGCTGAGCAGCTGGCAGAGGAGTTATTTTCAAAATATGCTGAGGATTGCACCCATTTCCTAAATTAGAAGAGGGTGGAATACTAAGATATAGACTGTAAATCTTCATTTTTTTACTTACCTGGAGGTATAAAATCCAAAATCCCAAGCAACAAAGTCCTTTATAAAACAGTGACTAAGACTAGGAACTAGGTTTTTTTGTTTGCTCTTTTTTATTTTTCTAAAATCAATTAGCCCAAATCTGCAGCTGCTTAAAGGCCCCTTAGTTACCCTGACCCATTTAAAAACTTGCGGGGGGGCAAGATCTGATAAGAACAGGCTCCTTTCACCAGTTATGGCCACATTTGTTTGGGGATTTTCTCCCCCATTTTTATTTCCATGGCTTTCAAGGCAAGAAACACTACTGCCTTCATGTCTCAAGCCCACCACTGCAGCACCTACATTTCAGCTTATGAACTTTCCGGATGTTACTCTGCAGAGAAACTTTCTCCAAAGAGATGTAATATCATGCAGAAAGAAGAAGGACGGAAAAGCCTCCCCATTTTGAAGAAAATCAGTGCTGTTTGCAGAGTCCCAGTCTGCCACTCGCCCAGGGAAGTACCTTCCTGGCATCGCAGTAGCGCAGCCCGAAGGAGTGGAACTGTGGGAAGAAGGTCGGCTGCACAGCGGCGATCTGCGTGTAGAGCTCCGCGGGCCGCGACATGGCCGGCGTCCCCGAAAGCAGGATCACTCTCTTGGCAGCCTGGGAAAACCAAGCAGGGCATCATTACCATACAGCTCACAGCAGAGCAGAATTAGGAAGTCGCCACAATCCTGAAAGAAAATCCCAGACCCCCTGTTCAAGTACCTCAAACAGAAGAGTGCTTCACCTTCACAGGTACTTTCAGCTATCGCTGCCCGAAGACATTCAAGCAAAGCACTTCAAACTTCCAGGGAGCAGGACAAGCCACACAGTTTCTTAATACCCATCCACATGCTCTAAGAGAAGGGTACTTCCATTTTTACTACACTACTTTCTGAATCAGCATTTACCCACTAGCTTGGGTTAACTTTTCACATGGCATCAGCCATCACAGGAAAATGACACACCCTCACAGGTACATCCCCATCTCCAAAATAAATTCTCTCATAATAAACCTGCCACAGCAAGCCATAAGCAGACTGTCTTTCTCACACAAGCAGAAGCGATACAAAGAAGAAGGATTTTTTTTCCTACTTTGTTGATTTTTTTTTTTTTAATTATACTAGCAAGGAGAAAAAAAATGAAGCTCTCCGATGCAGGACGATAAGAAGATGATCTGACAGCCAATGGTGCATGTAGACACATCTGGCTGGATGTTAGAACGTAAGAGAATAAATACAAATCATGTAAGAAGGTTGTAAAAGGTGTTATAGAGTAGAGAGGAAGAGGACAGAAAGCCTGCATCTAAAGTAGGTGCTCCCAAGAAAGGCAAAAATTACACTATAGACATTAAAGTCTCCAAGATACACTTCTACCTTCATACTGCCACTATTACCTAATTCTATTATTAGATAAAAGCTATGAATTTCTACTGCTGTGAATTCACATATTGTAGTTAAATTACACATGCCTTGCAATTTCCTACATGGTTTATTGCAGGTTCATTAAAATAACAAAGAGATTGTTGAGTGACATCTGTACCAACAGCTCATTCACATTTAAATGAAAAAGAAAATTAAATTCTTTTATCATTTCACTGAGATCAACAAGTCAGCCAGATCTATTCAGCTGTTTCATCCACTTACCAACCAAACCTTGTGGAAAAAGCGTTCCGGAAATTAATTCAAGACTCTATCAGCTATTTATATATAGGCTGTGATCAAGGTGGGAATTGCCTTCTCCAATAATCCCTACTAAACAGATCAGAGGGAAATGTGATCACCACCAGGACCAGACAATTCCCATGAACAGTCAAAAAAGCAGAATATTACTGAACTAAGTAAGAGGAGACGTCAAACCTTTGAGCATGTCAGAAGATGAGAGTTTGCACAAGACAGAGGTGCTGATGCTACTCAAAAGAGGAAGGAGTCACAGAGACCAGAGATATCATATCCCATGAGGAAACTGATCAAGCAGAAATTAGGTCCTTTTTACAAATTAAGGTAACACTAGAGGACAACTGAACAGAACCCAGACAATATCTGACATCTAACAGAAACCTTTGAGGAAGAAACTGACACTACCCTGAGAAATCCGCTAAAAAGCAAGACAAGCAAGTCCCACAAGTGCAAGAAACCTCCAAATTAAACTTTCCTCATGGACCAACAGAAAGTAACTACCAGAAAAAAGGAAACATGAAGGCATGTAAGAAAACTCTGGATCAAGCTAAAGCAAGAACACACTCAAAACATACCAGGGACATAATAAATGCAACATAAACTCAACTGTGTTGAAAGTGTTTATGCCGTTCTCAAGGCTCTCTCTTCTCACAAGGTGTTTCCTGGAAGCTGCACAGGATGAGGTTGGAACTAATTCCCCAGTAGTCAAAACAATTATTCAGGCTCCTTCCTCAATTCCTAAATAGGTGTCAAAAGAGAGGATGATGAAGTTACAAGTTATCTGAATTCTAAACTTGTCCAGCTGCTGCTTTGCTGTGTGTAACTTCTTTCTGAACAGAAAGGGTATTCAACCACTGCAAGCTCTTACCAAGGGCTGTGACATGTCTTCTAATTAACCATTTAAAACAAACTGAAAAGTAAACAATAAAAATAACAACAACAACACAACCAACCAAACCCCAAAAGACACTAACTCTACAAGAGCTGTGAAGAACTTCAGAAATTAATTCCAGAAAATTTCAGGGAACATAGGTGGTCTAACTCATTATCCCAAAGGTCCCTTTCAGCTTTAAAACCTGTGACAGATGGAGCTCAAGAAAGAACAGAAGGAAAAAAAAAGCCCCTAGGACGAAAAATTTCCAAGTGTTGAAGGCTGACTTAAATTCTGGATGAAAGAAATGGCTTTGATTCCCATTTCTTTTTCTAGTGGCAACTCATTTTGAATAGATGCCAATAAAGATTTGCTCCTGCAGAGAAGTCTCTACTGATCACTGCTTAGTTCTTGTTTCCTGCTGAACCTTCTGTGCTGCCAAGAGTGAGCACGTAGCCTCTTTCTTCAAAGGTCTGTAACAATAATACGGAACAACACCACAGAAAATATGATTGCAGGGGCCAGAAAGGACTTTCTAGCAAAATCAGATCTTGTAATCAATTGATACTTATTTCCACACGGATGAACTAACATTAGCTGCTCAGCTGAATTTACGCACGAAGCTCACAGAGCTGGTGGAGACCTGGTCTGCAGCTCTCATTTACTAAGCAGCCTAAGACAAATGTGGCTTTGTAGCATTACAAAACACACCAGCAAGAATTAATTCCACAGCTGTGAAAACATTTACAAAGTCACTTTTGAAAGTCAAAGAATAATTTATGAAATTATGGCACTTACTCTAGAGGTTAAGACCCGACAACCAACGATTCAGAGGGGAGTAGGCAAGGCGGAGGGATTATGTGACAAACAAATAATTGACCACACAAAGAGCCTCATTAACATACAATGACTATCTCTGTGTTAAATGGATTTCCCAGCAGGAGCTCTGCCATATGCTATCAGACTGACATACTTTTTTAAATCAGTGTGGCTGGTTCTGGCTGTACATTTACTCGTGTCCCCAGTTTTTGCTTACTGTGTCATTTCAAACTGCTTAGCTTAAGAATAGCTTATCCTTCAAAATGAAAAATCTGAGAGGAACCATAATAAAATAATCACCTGATGAAATAGAAGATGTGGTAAAGGGGAAGAGTTGCTTTCAGGAGTCTGTTTCCCTACTTGGGCAAGGGATCGGGTTCCACATTCCATAAAATAAAATTATTCCAAAAAAATATAAATACTTTTCCCAATTGTTAACCTACATCTAGACAGACAATGTGTGTCAAACAGCAGTGATAAGCTATGATTGAAACAAATTAAACTGCTTTCTATTACAAGAAGGGAAAAAAAATTTGGAAGGTAAGAGCAGATCTGAAGATGAAGCCCTGAGGGCCCACAGCTTCTTCAGTTTCAAGATGAAGTTCCTTCTCTCAGCAGGTGACAATAAGGTTTATTTATTTAATCCATACAGATTTGTAGCACCTAAAGACAGCTGCAGCTTATTTCCCGACAGAAATATAAATTTTTGTGTGCCCTCCTCACCTTCTACCTTCAGCATGGACCTGTTTCTCTCCATTATTTTGAAGTTGCTCTATGGCAACAAGCATAAAAGGTTTAGATTCCAGCCACAGTGTATTTGGACTCCCATAATAAAACTAAAGACCTTTAACCCTGCAAACATCAGGATATGTATCAGACTATTGACTGGAACAGCATCTCAGTGGGAACAATCAAATTAGTAATATTATCCATGTGTTGGAGAGCAATGCTCATAGAGACCACAAAGAGTATAAGAACATTTAATGCCACTGGAATTTTTGATTAGATAGTACCTTTTACTTATCAGTTTCCAGTGCAGTTCTTCACTACTTATTGTCATGCTCCCAAATAACTCATCCATTTTCCATTGGGACCTTCTCTAGTTTCCATGGCTTGCAGTATTCCATGCAACTACAGAAGAATAAAGACCATGCAGCACCTTAGTGGGTCAAAAAAAGTAGAATCCTTACTACTTTGGTACCCAAGAGATCCCACTACAGATCAGTGAAAAACTTTTGGTTTGTTTGTTTCTTCTCCATCCACATCCCTGAGGCTTTGCTGGTTTAAGAATATTAGAAGTATGTATACTCCCTCTCCTATATTTATGTCTCTGAGCCAGTCTAATCTTAGAAGAAAAAAACAAAATGCTTCCAAGAAACGTAACACTATTGACACTTTCTGCCTCTGAGGGAAGCAGATCCAGGGCAGAGGTGAAGGGAACAACCAGTATTGTCAGTATGCCTAGGAAAACTTAGTCCCAAACATGAAATACAGAAAACAGCAAGATGGCAAGTAGGTCCTATAACACATTGACACAGCTTTGAATTAGGGGGAAAGACATGCCGGGTCTAACAAGGCCTTTTGGTGATTCAACTACAGCCCAACAGTATGAAGCTATTCTCACTTTGATGTGCATGGAAACAAGACACAAAGACCACTTTGAACACAGCAACCTCTAGCCCCCGAGTACAGTGAGAGCTGCTGCAGCTGGGGACAAATCTCAGGCAGCTGCCAGCACAGACCTGCTGGTGTGAAGGCTGGCTGACTTTGAAAGCAGCATCTGTGCCACATGACCAAACATCAAAGGACTGTTTTCTACTACAGCTTTTAATCCATCCTTCTCCATAATTCTGCAGGGATGCACACAGACTGTGTGCAAACTCTACCACCTCCTTTCACTTAGACAGACAAAGCATTCTCCCCCATCTACAAGTCTGCACACCCACAAGTTTGCACATCCACTGGAACATGAAGGGAATAAGATATATGGCCTAAACATCTTGCTGCTGCTATTTCACTCTATCCTACTGTTCATGCAATTACAAGTTCCTCTCAAAGTTCTGTCCACTAACAGTAAATTTGGCATAACATGTCTATATATTTACTCTAAACTAATGACAACCTGGGGTAAGCCATGAGGCAGCAGGCACAGCCACTGCATACATGCAGCCATTACAAAATTTCTTCCTCTGTCTCAAGTAAAACTTTTCTAAATCTCTGTAAGGATAATGGCTAAGTATGTCAGGAAAGATAGTGAACGCTGCACACACAAAATTTGTGGCTTTTGTTAATATTAAAAAGATGTCTAAAAATCCCCAAGTGGCAAACTTAGGTGACATGTTTAATACATGGCTTTGCTTGACAATTCTACACCACACTTACTCTGCGATATCTACAAGAGAGCAGGAAAAGATGAATTATGACTGAGTGGTTAAAAACACCACTTCATTTTGAAAACGGGTCAATATCAGACATTAAAAGTAAAATAAGGCTTTAAATGCTGTAACAATGGGATAAAGATTTGAGAGGTGAAGATTCAGTTTGGCTATCTAACAAGATAAATTAGAAACTAAAATCCAAGGTATGTCATCTTTATTATCAATGCACCAATTTAATCCAATTATTGTGCAGTTCTTTATAAACACTTGCAACAACTTATGTATTTCATTTATTATTCAAATGGAGAAGTCAAAAGAGCAGATTCTATCAAGATAAAAGAAATTAAGTACGGATAGAACTGAAAAACACTTCTATCTCCAAAACATTTTAACTTAATTTAGGTCAGTGTCATTATGGACTCATAAATCTTTGTAGCATGTAAGGACCAAAGATCATATTTCTTAAGTAGGTTTCCTTTTTTTTGGTCCCTAAAACTCAGTTCAAGCTTTTATGCTTTAGGGCACTGAGATCCTCATAGGAAATAGCAGCAACTATGGCAATTTCAGATAGTTTAAAGCAGTATTATGCTAACAGTTAGAAGTGGCAATGCTCAGAAGGTAGACAAACAAGCCACGCATTAGGTCCAGGGGCTCTGGTTACAGCACTGGCACAGCTGCACACTGTAACCTTAAGGTAGGGACTGGGGTACTAGAAGCAGTTTACCTCTCAAGGACTTGCCTACAGCTACACCTTTTTCTGTTCTCTTCTAAGAGCCCTACTGCTACTCAAATCCTTTTAACATAGAGAAGGCAAGAACATTATCCTCAGCAGCATGTTTAGCCACACCTCTTATTCAGTAATTCCAGGGTATCATGAAAAATAATGAGAATACTCCCATTTCTACCTCACTGGCTACTTACTATAAGTATCACATAGCATAGTTGTTAGATTTTGTATTTAAGTGATGAAAGCTCCTGATATTTTGGCAGTTCTTTCAAATACAAAAATATTGGTGTGATGTGTTGTGCCAGGAGTGACCAGAGCATCACTCACTAGGAGCTGAAGACACAGCTGCCAAAGGGGATAGTTTTAGAGCAAAATGCCTATGTTGGAAAGCAAGGAGAGAAGAAAAATGGCGATTACAGCAAATACTTCAGAAATTTTAGTCAGCAACCAGGCAAACAGAATTTACCTGAACATCTAACAGAAAACATCTGGTACTGCACGCTCATTGCAGGTGAGATAATGCACAATATGAATATGAAACTCTTAAGGCTTTCAGAAGACAGAAATTCAGTTTCAGAAGCATCAGCTCTCAATTCTTTAAGACCAGTGATGTGACAGCATAAAACTGTAAATTCTCAGGAAGTGCATATAGGCAATTAACCTCTGCCTAACAGCTACTATCTTTCACTCTCCTATCTTGCAGCCTGCAAATAATTTTGACATGTTGATCCTTACAAAGCTTCAAGTAGCAAAGGATGAAGCTGTTTTTTGAGCATTTTGCTCAAAATGAGGGCGAATTTGTTATTTTCCACAATTTTCAGACATACACCCCAATTACTGTATATCAAACTGCTCACAGAATTGGACCTCCTACTTAAGCTTCCAAACATTAAAAGCCTGAAGTGATTTGAAAACCAAGAGAAGACACGAGTCAGGCTTTTAAGGAGAACAACCAAGTTATTCAAGGACAACCATCTCCAGCAAGCCATTAAGAATCTTGCATATTAACAGTGGTTGCTATAAAGCCATCACAGATCAGATCTTCTCTTTATATATACTGTTGGTGAATTGAAGAGGAACTGCATCTACCTTCTTCCAATGTACAGACCCTGCAGTGTCTAGAAACTACCCATAACTTTAATCTGTATCTGTTAAGAGTCTACCGGGGTGAGTTTGATTCTTTGATCCCAGCACAACAGGCAAACATTAGAATTTACATTTCTCCTGGTCTCTTATAATTGACTCCCATCTGTAGGCCATTTGTCCCACTAACCTCACATTGTGCCATTTCCCAGTAGCTCTGTATATGTAACCAGCAGGAATGCTCCTAAGCCCCAGCCACACAAATATATTGTAAGCCTGCAGTAACAGTCTAGAACCCCAAAACCAGGGAAGGGCCCTAGGCAATGCCATTCTGACCTGCAGCAACAATTTGTGTGCCAAGAAGTAACTGATAATGATTATTTTAATCTAACAAGCTATTTTGACACCACTACATTCTGTCTACTCTCCCTGAATATATTCAGTAAGTTCTGACATTCCCTTTTCCCTGTCATCACAGAACTCATCAGTGGCGGTACCACAATTATACTGAGCTTTAGACGTTGTTTTGTTAGGTTTTATCATCTAATATTTGTATGGAAACAAGTGGTAAAGCCAAATTTCAGTCTTGGATTTAGACTATTACCTGAATTTCCTCTTACACACCTAAAGAATTCAGCTGCTGGCTCCTAAACCTGGTAAGTGGAGCAACACTGCCCCAGGAGCCTGATGTTAGCAATCAGAGCTTTGGCACTCAGCTTACACACCTTGAGTAGAGGCATGGCAGCTTGGCAGCGTGCAGTTTTTGTGTTCTTCAGGAAATGAGACTCATCCTGAAACAAAACAAGCATGAAAGCAAAGTCAGTTCAGATCCATAGTCCAAATGCAGGTCAACAGAACAAATTCCCAGTATTCTCAGCTATCTAGTATTACAGGCCCTTCATTCGGGATATTTCAGGCATTCGGATAGTCACATCAAATTCTAAACAAAAAGACAGGATGAAGAGTAGCAGGCTTCCTGCACTCAAACCTGCAGCTGCAAGCAAACAGAACAAAAATCAAACATTGTAGGCATGAATCATAAATGAACACCAAAAAAAAAAAAAAGTGAGCTGAGGGGGCTGGAGACGGAAGGAGAAAGAGGAATATTGTTTCCATAACTGATACTCATTTGCCCTTATATGTCTTTTAAATGCAGCAAACATAGGAGGGCTATACAGTGCCAGCTCCCTTAATAAGGGGTTAATGCAAATTATAAGGAAAAAAGAAATCTAATTAAGATCCAACTGTTCTGTTGATAGTGCTCACCAGGTGGGTAACAGTCTCCTACTTCAGACCCTCAGATGAAATTCACTTCTACTGCTATAGTAAAGGCACAATTTAAGGCACAAAAAGCAGTTGGCAACCTCCAAGGGTATAGTCTCATCTTTCCATGTGTGAAGAAACAAGCATGCAAAGACAATATAACTGCTTAGCCTCTCAGACACAGCCTTCTCCCTCCTAAATAACAAATAAGCTACACTAATTTTCCCACTCACCAAAAGAAGAGTTTAAGAAAAACCAGGAAATCTCAGCAAGCACTAGGACTACTCTCATCTTTAAAAACCTACCAAGGGTCCAAATTTGAACATACAAACAAAAAGAAAAAACATCTGCCAATTCAGGGCTGGTTAAAAGTTCCAAGGAAATAGTCTCAAGCCTACAAATATAATAATCTGCATTTCCACCTTGAAAGAATGTTTAGTCAGAGTGTGTGTAGGAGAAAAAATATAAAAATGAAAATGATCAGTTCCCCCATGAGTAGCTTGGTCTCCAAAGAACTCCATCTATTGCCATATTCCCATCTGATGCTGAGAAACAGAAAGATTAATATGTTCCAGTTGTCATGATCTTTGGGCAGGTGTGTGTAAGCTGAAAACTAGACTGAGAACATCAAATACTCATAGTAAGCTACATATACACTTTTGCTCTCTATTGATCCAAGCTAGATTTGAAACACTAGATGTTTTCCATTTTTAGTAACTGAAATCCAGAAAAATGCCATTTACTGTGTCTCTGTAAAAAGATAGAAACTGGAATTTGCAGTAATTTATGAAAGAAACTATACAAGTGATCAAAGAAGGCTTAATGCAGATTGTTAGTGGAATACAAGGTAAGGGAGATTTTTTTGACGCTTTACCCACGTACTTGATGTTGAAAGGTTATCTGGTTTACTGGATAAACACTAACACCACCCTGAAGTCCAAGACTTAAGAAGATGCAATTCCATGACTACTGTATTGACACACCACATTAAACACTTTTCTCTCCAGCAGAGGACATGACCAAGCACTATGAAATCAGACAGACACCATATCCAGTAAAAGTGAAAACACAGTCACAGGAATCACAAAGAAAATCAATTCTACTAGTTATTTCGAAAGTTTTCAGACAAACCTCACGCTTATACTCATGAAGATAGCTGTCACAGCCACAACTGCAAGATACTTTCAGTCCTAAATAAGGCCCACTTCACATTTCTTTGCTGTACAAAGGCTACCCCATTTGCAGCATACAACTGACTCAAAATTTTCATGTACCACTTACAACAATAACTACTTGGAATGTGCTCTTAAGTTGCTTGTCCATCCTGCTGAGGAGATCAAAACTGATGATGTTGATCAAGCTTCCTGTTAGGTTGTCTTTCCCACTCACTATGACATTGGTGCTTTCGGGACTCAAGGATGGAAGCCATCTGTGAAATGCCTGGAGGAAGAGGAAAGAAATTAATTGCATTCTGGTGCTTATCTTCTTTGTCAAGATCCCAAAGCACTACACAGAACATCCTCATGAATACTTAGAACATGGACCCACCCCATCCACCATTAGACATCACTTTGGAGCACAGTAAGGGTAAGCAGCCTTCCCATGGTAAGCAACCTCCCTGGTAAGGGAAACATCAAGAACAGAATTCAGGCTACAAGGCAATATCTATTTTACACAGCAAGGAAAGTTCAAACCCTATTCCCTTCTTATTGAAAAAAAAAAAAAACAACAAAAAAAAGCAAATAAAAACAAACCAACCCCAGTAATACCCCAAAAACCCAGACAAAAATCTGATCTTTAGCAGAAATGCACATAACCTCCTGAGAAAGGTACCTGCTATGCTCAGAGCCAGAGAATACTGTGACCACTGCTTACAGGGAATTTAGTTTTCTCACTCAATAGGAAACCTATAGTTGTGAAACAGACTTCTAAGTGGTAAACATCTACAGCAATAGCATCTATGGACTATAGCATGTTTACTCCACAGTGAGGGTGAAGTACAACTCATCCAGATGAACAAAACTCTTCCACTACCTCCTCTTCTTAAAAACTCCACCAAAAAAAAAAAAAAACAAAACCAAAAAAAACAAAACTAAAAGATCAAGTTGACAACACACCAGCTGCTCTATGACAGCAGCTGAAATTCATGTGGTAATTGTCATTCAATCAACCTCTTGAAATGCTCCACACACCAGAGCAAGATATCCTCCCCCAAACCCATCTGTTAGCCAGACCTCCCACCATTTCCCTTGTAATTCTGTCCCCCAGTGACACCAAGCTCTCTGCAACATTTGAGTTCTGCTGATGTTGCTCTGCAGAAAACTGGGCCCATCAGGATCTGGTGCCTATAGAAATGTAACCAAATGGTGATGGGAAATGGCATCTCTGTGTCTAGGAGCTTTGCCTGTTGAAATCCCCCTACCACAATCATTCCTCTTCACTGTTCAGCAAGCCAAGAGCTCTGGCTCAGCTTTCTCTCTCACATTGAACATTTCACTTGCCTATGGCAACCCAACAGCCTCAGTGTACAAACTATGCAGTGATTTAGTTCAAGACAGATTTCTCAACCGTACAAGCTTTCTTGGGCTTTGACCAACATTAATAAAGGACTCAGAGGAGTCAGCAACATACACTGGACAGGCCAAAAGACATATTATGATAGACACTTAAAGATGATGATAATGGAGCCTTTTGAAAAGAATGGACAATCTCAGCATCTGGGCCTCTGTTCCAGCCAAGGAACTGGCAAATACTGCTATGGGCTGGCATACAAGACCATTGCTTGAATGAAACTATTATCTTCGACACTGATGAGTAAAATGCCCCCTTGGAGCCAACTAACTTGCAGGGAAAAAGTTAACAGAGGGTCAGAGGACACACTTTCTCTAGCTGTCCTTTTCCCAACAGATCAGCTGGATTACAAATGAAAATCAGCCAATAAAAAAAAAAAAATAGGCATATACCATACAGTCAACACCAAGAAATCTCCCACCATCAAGTTTCTAAATCAGTACATTTTTTCGTTTCTTTGTCTTAATACATTTAGAAGTTTAACTTTTGCAAAGCACAATACAGCCTGACCATCACACAGTCTCTTCACTGACCCCAGGCACGTGGCCAAGCTCACAGTACCTGTGCCCATGTAAATCTCACAGAAGAAGGAGTGACCACCAGCAAGGGCCATTCCTGCTGGTAATAGGCAGCAATGCAGATGGCCTGGATGGTCTTGCCCAGGCCCATGTCATCTGCAAGTAGCAAACGTCCATTCCTGGAAATTGCAAAACTGGGGAAATCAGAGAGGGAAAGAAGAGTCAAGAAACAGGTTAATATCTGGCAACCAAGACAGCACAAGTCATGACTGAGCCTCTAATGTGGATCACCTGGAAGTGATCAGGGCTTTTCAGTAAACCTTAGTCTTCATACAAGAGAGCAACTCTCACAAATCTCTCAAAGCTTGGAAACTCCTGAACAGAGTGGTTCAGCTCAGTTCTTAGATATTTAGATTTCATATGAGAAGTAGTCTCAAGAGCTTACAATTATTTAAAGAACAGTTTTTCCATGATATTACTCACATTGTGTTCCAGAGTTCATTCTGGCTAAGAAATTATTACTAAAAACAGTAGCAATTAAAGACCATTAAGTACAGACTGTCCTGGACTGCATATTGAAATCAACAACTAATGATCATATATGATGGGAACATATAATTAGTAATCTTAAATGTTTTAGGACTTGGGTCTCATTTCCTGGTCCCTTCCCATGTGTATTTAATATTCAGAGAACAACAACAACAGAAGAGGTGCACTCAGGGAAAAAAAAAACCTTACAAAATAAATCATATGACAAATATGTACATACTGAATCACAAAAGGGAGATCAGAGATGTATCATTTGATCAATTATTTAGACTAGCAAAATACGACTTTCCACCTGACTCATGATGAATTCTATCTAGAAATAAAACAGATGTGTCACTCAAAAAAATAATAAAAAATTTTTTAAAAATCCCAAACAAGGAATACTGCTTAACAGCATGCAAAAAGGACATACTTCACACCTTCCCGCTGAAAGGGCATGAGGCTTGTCACAATTTTGGAGTCCACAACCGAAAGGTCAGCATCAGGAATGTCTGTCAGTGATGGAGATCTCTGCAGTTGAGCAGCAAAGGTCTTAATTACTGCTTCAGGCAGTGGCTCCACTTCTACAGACATGAGGCTCAGTAACACTTCCACTGCAAAGAACAGAGCAGTTTATTATCTGAAGGGACAACATACACACAACTTCCATTATGGATCTCAGGACACAACCCTCAACCTCGTCAGAAATATAATTTCCTATCCTGAAACAGCCCACAGAAATCATGGCATCATGCACAGGTGTTAGCCTGGCCTCTTCCCTGAAGTCTATTTCAGAACCACATGATGAATCACATCTCCTCCCCTCGTACTTAGACTTGATTATAAAAAACTGCAACTCTGATGCCATCATTCAGAGACAGTTGCTACTAATACAGCTGGAGCTGGATTATTCATGCTGGAGGGCAGTTTAGGGCACACTTTACTCAGAAATGAAGTACGTATTTGAAAAAGAGAACTCCTGAAAACTAGAAAGCAGGGGCATCTTTATCTTGACCTTGGGATTCTGTGCCTCTGAAGTTTCCACCATGCCAAAACCATCAGAAGACAGTTACCAAGACAGTTACCTAAAGAATATAATTAATCTTCAATTTTGAAAACTCTCTTCTCCTCCTGTTCCCTGAATTTACAGAGTTGGGTTCTGCCTCCACTTTACCATGCTTATTTACCATATGGGGTAAGAAAACAGGAAGCACCTCAAGACTCAGAGAAACAGCTCTTGTGCCAGCAGCAGCACTCCAACAGCCATCCTTCAGGACCTACAGCAACTCCCTGCTCAGCTGGTGGCCACTGCTCTTCCTCTGGACAGAAGCAGTTTACAGGCCACAACCAGCTCACAGGCAGCCACTTCAGTTCCTCAATACCAGTGTTCCTTCACCCATGAAGACTCACAACTTTACCTTCCCATTCAACTAAAGGGATCCCCAGAATCCATTATGCCAAAACCTCAGAGCCTTCATCTTTTCAACCCATGCATCATAACAATCAGAGCATCTAGCCAATCCTCCTCCTGGATGACCTTATTTTAGTCTCCTCCAGCAGCCTCTCTATCCCATCCTCTCCAAAACAAAGTCTTTTTAATCCAACAGTTAATTTCTAAGCAAATTAACACCAGTTTTAAACACGTAGTGAGCTGTAACCAAGAAAACTTCTTAAATAATTTTTGTCCGGTGACTATGAAATTAAAGACCTCTACACTAAGAACACAAATGCAGGTGCACAAATTTTTATTGCAGGAAGCAATTTCCATTTTTTTCTTTAGTAGTCAGTTTGTGTATGAAGTCCAGAAGACAAAAAAAAACTGCTTGGAAAAACAACTAAAATAAGAACTCACTATACCAGCAGTAAATGCTCTAGAATTCAGTTAGGTATTTTTGTTTCAGTCGTCTCCAAGAGGAAAACAGCAGGATGGACCCCTGCCATATAAAGGGGAAAAGCAATTCCAAGAAATATACATATGAAAAGATTTCCATTTGTGGTTGGGTAATGACCAAACTTTTTAAACTCTCTGGTTTAATTTATACTTCTTCAATAGCAGGAACTCTCTCCATCCAAAGAACAGCACAAGCTTGTTATTACACTCACAGACTGAGCCATGTGCTAGTATAATTGCTACAATTTGCTCACTGATAATTCTGTTGCTATTGTTCTGTACATGAGCTGGGAGAGTGATTAAGATATATCTGCCACCAGCATGATTCATCCAACAGACAGTTTTTAGTGAAGTGACCTTTATATAAAGATGACTGAGCAACTAGGCAAAGAGACATTAACCTCTACAAACAGTTCCCAGCTAACAGATCTCTCTGCTGGAAATGGCAACCAGCCTAAATTCTCTTTTTTTAATTTTGATGTAGGCAAATGAACAGGCAACAAAGCAAATGCTGTTCCTCTAAAAGGCACGTGCTGGAATCCTCAAATGACCTCACAAATTACACTCTGCAAGATTCATGGAATTATTTTCCTTTCCTCAAATCTGTGAGATTCTGAATACCTCATGTAATGTGTACAACTCCCAGCCAGCATGACTGAGACTATGACAGACTAGGAGGTGATGTGTCTGCTCAGACTGCCTGGCACAAGCTACAGGATCAGGCCCTTTGCAGATACAAAAGGCCTTTTGACCAAATTGTGAGCGATTATCTCCACTCACCAAAATCAGGAATGTCCACATTCCAACCCTGCAGTTTCATAACAGTCTTTTCCAAGACACACTCACTTATTTTCAAGACCTGGCCTTCCTACACAGCCCCACCACATGGCTTTCAGCCCTACAACCATTACTAATGTTATTAAGACATGCATCATAGAAGCAGGCACTTAGTCAATTATTAAACACACTCTGGTATCCCATGAAAGCAGGAGCCCATGCTGGAGAACAAGTACTCTGAGAAACAGCATTTCAGCTCTGAAACACTCACACTTCCTAAGGATGTGCATAGAGCACCTGGCTTATTATCCTTCTGAAACTTACCCCAACCAAATTCCACAGCCACAAACCCTGAAATGAGCACTGGAAACAAATACAGCATGCTGACTGGGATAATAAATAATAGTTATAATACACAGGACGTGTGTAATGCTATTCATCTCAAAGCACTCCATAAACCTAATTAAACACAAAAACCTGAGAAGCAGATGTGCCAAAAGCACACTACAGAGACTGGATTATCCTGCAAGGTTGCATCTATTAGAAAAAAAAAAACATACCAAAACACAGCTCTTACATTTCAGTTTGTCAAGTCACATTTTCAGCAGCATTACACAGATACATAAAGGCAAAAGGCAACAGACATAAACTGATGCACAGGAAGTTCTCCTTCACTGGAGAAACACAGCTACTCACTTAGTTTGGGGTAATCCTCCAGCAGGAAATTCCACTTTCTGGTATTCATATCTGCAATAGTTACAACAAACACTGTCATAAGTCTCTTTCAAAAAAAGACTGAATTCTGTGTCCATAAGAACATGTCTATCTATCTATATCCTCTGCATTTCAGTACTGTTTTAGAAGACCTATACCTTGATCAAAATCCATTCTCTATTTGCTGTCATGTTAAGTAGTTTGAAGAAGATTTAAAAGTATGACCACACATGTAGAAATGGTGGTATCACCAGAGTAAGCCAAGATCAATTCTCCTAATGAACCCATCTGCTCAAGAATTTTGGCAACCACTTTGTCTTCACTGTAAGAAGGGATGAAGAATGTGTGCAAAGTTTCTACTTGTGAACCAACAAACTCTTGACTTCAGTCAGTAAACAAATTACTTTCAGTTGTGCCTCTGTACCCTAGAGTCAAAGTGCTCAGGAGGGTACAGGAGGAAATTCATCAATATCCAAAATGTAACATCAATGCCAGACGCTGGGTAGCATCCATGTGCAACATCCAGGGAAAGAAGACTGAATTCAGAGTCAAGTGAAAACACAATGAGCCCTGCTCCAAGATACAGAGCTCCAGAATTTCTTGTCCATGCTGTCACTGACATTCTGTGACACTGTGTATGTCACCTCACCACTGTGTCTCATTCACAAATTACAAGTGGAAAAAAACTATATTTACCAGTGAAATCTGAATGCCAACAAAAAAAGTGTTCTACAGTTACACTTGCCTTGAAAACATTGGTAAAACTCCTGGTAAATTAAATCTGCTCAGACAGTTGGAGCCACCATACACCACAATAAAGCAGAAGTAAGAGAACATCCAGCTGCATTTGATAATGAAGACAAGAACTTGGCATGGTCTCCATACTGCTCGCAAATTATCAGCACAACCCACCTAATTTACAGTATTTACAGTAAGTGTAAATATAATCCTGATAAGATCTGAAATACCACCTCAGCTAACAGGCCAAGGACATGTTCTGCCATGGGGTAAAGTGCTGGACATGGATACAACACTAAACTAGAACTGTAAGATCTTCTAAAATCCTCACCAAAGCACATTCTCCTATGCTCTTTTCAGAGGGATGTACTCTCACAACCTCTCTTCTGTAAAGCAAGAACAGCCCCAACAAGGCCATTATTAAAAAGCAGACACAGCAGGAGACTCACCATAATTTCTGGAATCCATCTTTTTGAAAACCTCAATCACTTCTGCAGAATACCCAATATCGACCTCAAATCGCAAGCGAGAGATAAGCACACACTTCCCTTTGACAAGGGCTGAGGATTTCTTCCAGTTCTTACACATCTTCAAGAGGGATTTCACATCAACCCCACTGCCAACAAAATGAGAGCCTGATGCCAAGCCAACCACATTTTTTCCTTCCAGTGGTGCCAGAATTACTGATGAAAGTTGATTTGCTGCTTCCACTAGGGAGAATAGAGATACAGAAAAGAATTAATAACAAAGAACCCACACAAGTTTAAAAGGAATGATGATTCCCTGCTTTCATTCACAGGGACAAAGAATAGAGAAAGCAATGGCCTGGATGAGGAGGTTGGTGGGATTTTCCACAGAGAATACCACAGGGGCAAAGGGAACATGTGATAGCAAATGAACAAGGGCCGTCCAGCATTGCGATTGCACTAAGCTCCCTCTCTGTCAGCAATTCTAAAATGTGGCTCCCTAGGCCAGGGCAAGCAATCTGCAGAAGCACATTTAGCAGTAAATTGCACACAGTTTTACAGTGTTTTCACTCAGAAAATCACAGGGACAGGGGCATGGTGATCAATAGCATGTGTCTGAAAAGATGGGAAGGTGTTTCTGTAAACAGCAAAGGAGAAGGATTTAAAAATATCTGCCTCCTGCCTCACATCAATGGCTGGTAGACAATCCATCTAGGAGGAATGCTGTGTATTCACAATGCTGTAGGAAGGAATCTAGTCCAAATTCCTAAATCTCTTGTTACAATTTAAGTTCATTACCCTTTATTCTGTGTCTTACTGTTAGACTTGCACTTCCACCCAGCCATCTGCACTCTTGTCTTACCCATCACCAGCCATCACCTCTGACACAATGCCAGGGCATGGAGAGAGGAGGGACACAGCATTTTACAGATGTTAGCCTGAGAACACAGCTATCCACAGAAATAATCATGCCACTTACCCACTTATGTTTCTCTGCCAACCTATACCCATATGTTGCCTTTATTATCATAACTGAACTCTGATGGTTAAGGAATGGGAATACTATTTCTTATACCTTTCACAACACCAAAGTAGTGAAGTTTGTGCCCAAGCCTCCACCTCACAGATACTACAGTAACACAAAGCTCCATTAACATCTCCAGAGTCCATTAGACTCAAAAGCAGGGGACCATTAAGCACACTCTGCCTTCAAGTACTTTTGGAAGGCAACTTCCCCTCTCTGGGAGATGTTTAGAATAAGCCCAGGTGAATCCAGTCCTTTGACCAGTGAGCTGCACATCATTATCATCACTGCTTCTTTTTAAGCAGTCCAGAAAACTGATATGCAACAAAAAAGTACAAACTTTAAGTTCAGTGGTCATGATGTGAAAATGGAGAAAAAAGCTCATACAATTTCGTCCTAATCAATTAATAAACTATTTGGGTATCATCCAACCTTATTTTAAAATAAGTGGCTTCCTGAATAAATCCAAGCATTTGAGATTTCTACTCCAAATAAAAAGTTTAAGAGTACCCCATGAAAGTAATTTTTAAATTAGAGGTCTTGAAAAACACCAATTTACACCTTCTCCTCCCAATGCACCAAGCAAAAGATTTTAAATGCTACTGGTTTAGCATTGTGTAGTTAGAGGTCACCACTACAACTAAAACTGAAAGAAATTAGCATATTTTACTTCTTTATTCCAACATTTGTTTCTAGGCTTGACTGAATGTTTAATTTATAGTACAAAGAAAAAAAAGGTGATACAGGATCACATTATTCAAAAAAACTAAATTACAAGTGGGAACTTTAAAAATAATTGGTTTACACTTTCACTTTTACATTTTCAAGGCCCTTTTAAGTTAGTTCCTTTTTCTCAGGCTACTTTCCCCAGTTTCATAGGCCAATGCTGGTCACATATTGTCTTCACTTGGAAACAGAACTTTCCACAGAGTACTCAGGTATTTCATAGCTTTAAAGAAAAATGCTTGATTCCTAAAAACCATTCTCTTCATTTGCAGGCTCCTTGGTACAGAGACTCTGCTCTCATCTGTACTTCATACACTTCAAGGAAGCCAACAGCATTTAAATTATAAATGTGTGGCAACCCACATGGGAAGCTAAAATACCAGCACTCAACTGTGGTTTTTTAAAGTGCTCAACACAGGCCTAATTCCGTTCCCACTGAAATCAATAGTGATTTATCACTCACTTCAGTACAGTGTGCTTCTGAAAAGCCTACCTGAAGTGTTTGCCTCTATAATCTCTCAATCTTTCCAGAATAAGATGATAGGAGAGGGAAAAAAAAAGATAAACCTATTCTTGTTATACCAAAAAAAAAAAAAAAAAAAAGGCAAATTAATTTTCTGTCTCATTCAAAACCCTGGAGAACTACCCTTTATCCTTTTCTGACACACAAAATGAATAATGAAGGTGTTTATAGAAGAGCTATTTAAAAAGAAAATACATGAATGGACCCAGAAATTAAGCATTAGCCACTGGAACACACTGAGTTTTCAAAACAAATTCAAAACAAGCACCAGCACAGCAGATAATTTTCCTATGATCTTTTTGGTTGCTGAAAAATTCAATGGCAGGGAAAGTGCCACCTGTGCTTGGTATTTAGATTACAGGAAAAATTAAATTATTTCTAATCAACTACAAAGTATCAGAAAAATGTTATGAGCTAGATGCCTAAAAGATGGGCATTACCTTTAAGTAGCACTACTTTTATTACTAAGACACTAACAAAGCTCAACAATAACTACGGAAAGCAGGGGAAGGACGGGGTGTCAAGATTCCGCTTGTTTTTTATCATTCAACATTTACTTACAGACACTGCTGTAATCTTCCATGCTGAAATTCCATTTTTTCATAGCAGGATCTAAAGCAGGGCAAGAGTAATAGGGCAGAATATCAATCATTTGGGGCAGAAAAAAAGTGGTGACGTGAAATGTTCATGCGAGGTAAAAGTATCCAATCTACTCAGGCAAACTTTTTGCCACACATCTGAAAAACAATTATACCCAAGTTTACAGCTACATGACACCAGAAAAATCCATGAGGAATATGACTACTAAGACAAGAATGCAACAGCCATTCACAGGGATCAGCAACACATGATGGAAAATAAAAATAGAATATAACAAATAAAGATAATGGCAAAAGATCAGAAGAAAGACAAAAGGGAGAGATTCCAGTGCTCTCTGTAACCCAGGAAACAGAATCAGCTCATAACTCTGAACTATAGCTGAAGTGACCCATTTTCATATCCCAGTTTATTAATAACTTTGTTTCCTTCACTTCCAACAAACTGACCAGCTGCTGCCACTAAACTTCTCAGAGCATTGCTTATAAAGCAAGGCTTCAGACTTATTTTCTAAATCCAAGCTCAAGCTATTTATGTCCAGAATGTCTCTCCAATTTAATCTGTATTTACTTCTTTAATCCCCCATTAATGCCATATATTCCACCCCAGCAACAGGTACACTGGTAAGATCAAGTAGCAACTACAATAGCAGCAGATGCCAAAACTTCAACCCAATTTAAAACAGAGATAACAGAAAATAAACAATTCTTACCATAGGCTTTGCTTGGTACCTTCTTAAACACAGCAATAAGTTCAGCATTGTAGCCTATTTCAACCTGGAATCGGTCTTCCCCATATTTCACACATTTTCCTTTTGTAACGTTTGCTTTCTTGTGAGTTTCACAGGTAGAGGCCACACCAGCAGAGCTGGTCAGCTTCTGCATGCCACCACTGGCCTGAGGGACAAAACCTCCCCCTGTTCTTTCTGTCGGTCTGTTTATGTTTATCAGCATTTCTGAATTGCTCAGGGCGGCACTGCTTGGTGGTGAAACATATTTAATGGCAGATTTGTTCTGAGTTTGTAAATCTTTACTGCCATCAGGGTGCCCATTATCAGTGACTCTTGGATGAGGTGGTCCTGTGGGGTTTTTGAAAGCTGGGCAGCATTTGGGCTGCTGGAATGTTCCATGATTAATTGAAGTGTGTTGTCCATGTTCCTGACTACCAGCATCCAAGTACTGTTTATGGGAATAAGTCATAGAATTTGGGATCATTGCAGGGAACTGCTTTAGGCCACTTGCTTGTTCAGAGTCCTCTGAACAACTGTTTTGCTGCTCTCTGTGTGAGCCAGCCATCTGTTGGTTTGCTGTGTAATGGTTGTAGCCTTTCTGGAGACAGCTCCTCTGCTCCACAGGCGTGTTTGGATTCTGTCGGTGCTGGCCAGTGAACCCGACATGATTTTCTTCCTTGAAGCTTCCCGGATTGCCCAGACTCTGCCCTTTCTGCGGAGGTGCAGCGATGCCCACGTGCCCAGCTCCCTGGGCTGCCAGCCTCTCTGCTCTCCTAGCCAAAGCCAGCCGGCGGTTCTCTTCAATCCTTCTCTTTTGCTCCTCTGTAAGGCCTGATGACATCTTTAACAATTCCAACAACAAATCTGTACCAAAACTACATTGGGAATTAATCACAGAGGCAACTGCTTCTTTAGAGGAAGAGAGGCCAGTCTACAGAAAAAAAAAAGAACAAATTATTATTGTATTGATAACTTAGTATTGTTAGTGACTGAGTATTAGTGTAACTAATCCTCCATGAATCTCGTAGCACAGCAAAGCTGTCACATCAGTGCTGAGCCATCATCAGCAAGTATATGGTGTCAGACACTGATGAGGCCTTACATGCCAATGGATAAAACATACGGAAATGGAGAAAACTCCTATTCCACTACTGTTCTGAGTACTCTCCTCTGCAATTCCCAGCAGAACTAATAAATTAGCAAAGCACGAGGACACCCTGCACTGCAAAGCCAGCCCTGCAAACGCATCTGGAGGCAAAGGATTACATCCCTGCACAGCCTATGGTGGAGGTGTCCTATTGCGGGCACCTTTTATTAAAGATGGGGCGATGCCCATCTTCCCTGTTCACCTTCGGTTCCTGGGTATCTCAGAGATACCCGTGGCAGACAGATGCTGAACCCCACAGGGCAGAGCCAGCTCCTCCCGAGAAACATCCATTCGCAAGTCCAACAGAGGCGAGGCGCTGGCTCCCGTGACTTCTCCCGGCAGCCCGCCTCGCTCCATGCGCTCGCTGCTCCCCGTCCTGCGGGATGCCCGCCCACCCTCTCCGTTCCTCAGCTTCCTGCGGCCGGTGGGGTTCAAACTCTGCCCCCTCCTCTCCCAGAAACCGGGCAGGCTCCCATCCCAAACTCCACGGAGGTCCCGACCCACCCCGACCCTCGGGCCCCCGCAGTCAGGCTTTGTTCCCCGCCCGCCCCGGAGGCTCCGCTGCCCGCTCACCGCCGGCGGGCACGGCCCGGAGCACCGTCGAGGGACTACAGCTCCCAGCAGGCCCTGCGCCCCAACCCGGCGGCACGGCACCGAGCGGCCGGGAGTGCACAGCCCGCCGGGAGATAAGAGCGGCGCGCGGGAGGCGCGGGGCGCTGGGAAATGTAGTCTTCCGGTGGCAGCGCCATCTCGGGCCGCTGGTGTTGCGGTGTTGCGGGGAGGGAGCTGAGACCCCCGGGGCCGTCCCCGCCACCCCCGTACGGCGTGTGGGGACTCTGCTGCCGGCCCCTGGCTGAAGCCTTGCCCCAGGCAGCACCCAGCGCTGTACGGCCGGGCGGACCCCCTCGCTGGCTGCCCCGGTGTGTGGGGCTGGCAGTCCGATGTGTGCTGTTTTGAATGGGGACTGAGCAGGGAGCCGGCAGTGGCGCTGATGTGCGAGAACGGGTAGCGGCACTTGTCAGCAGTGAGGACGGAGTCTGCCCCGGGGGTTGGTTGCAGCAGCTGGCATTGCAAGGCTGCTTTGTCATTTTTGAATATCGATGGTAGGTTGGAAAAGACCTCTGAGATCATCGAGTCCCACCTATGCCCAAACACCACAATGTCAACCACACCATGGCACTGAGTGCCACCTCCAGGCTTTCCTTAAACATCTCCAGGGACGGTCACTCCACCGCCTCCCTGGGCAGCCCGTTCCAATATCTGATCACCCTTTCTGTGAAGAAATTTTTCCTTATATCCAACCTAAAACTCCTGGTGCAGCTTGAGGCTGTGTCATCCTGTCCTTGGCTGCTTGCACCAGCTGCAATCTCCTTTCAGGTGGTTTCAGAGACTGATAAGGTCTCCCCTGAGCCTCCTTTTCTCCAGGCTAAACACCCCCAGCTCCCTCAGCTGCTCCTCACAGTACTTGTGCTCCAGAGCCCTCACAGCTCCTGTCTGGACTCACTCCAGCACCTCAGTGTCCTTCCCGAGTTGAGTGGCTCAGAAATGGTCACAGCACTCAAGATGTGGTGTCACCAGTGCTGAGTACAGGGGGACAATCACTGCCCTGGTCCTGCTGGCCACACTATTCCTGATACAGGCCAGGTGCCATTGACCTTCTTGGCCATTTGGGCACATCCTGGCTCGCGTTCAACTGCTGTCAACCAGCACCCCCGGGTCCTTTTCCACTGGGCAGCTTTTCAGCCACTCTGCCCCCATCCTGTAGCGCTGCCTGGGGTTATTGTGGGTGAAGTGCAGGGCCTGACACTTGGTCATGTTGAGTGTCATACCCCAGTCTCAGCCCATTTATCCAACATGGTGTAGTCCACAAATTTGCTAATGGTGAACTTGATCCTCTCATCCAGATTGCCAATTAACAGGACCGGGCCCAGCACTGATCCCTGGAGACACTACTAGTGACCAGGCAGATGAGGGGATGTGCCTGGAGGCTGGAGGAGGACAGATGTCAGGGTTTTCTCCAAGCAGAACACTAGAAACAATAGGCCCATTAGAATTACTCCAGGCCTTTGGAAAGTTTTCCAAGAAACAATCACAAAGCAAATGAAGTAGGTGATTGGGAAAGCCAGCACAGTTTTATTAGAGGGAAATCACAGCAGATTAATCTGATCACTTTTGACAGCTAAATGACATTTTCTGTCTACATGGGGAAAGGAGTGGAGGTTGTTAACCTGGACTTCAGCACAATATTTGACCATGTTTCCCATGGCCTCCTCCTGGATGAGTTGACCAGATAGGCTGAAGCGGGGGGATCTATGAGATGGGTAGGGAATTGGCTCCCAGGCCACAGCAGAAGGCAGCAATCAATGGTTTTTATGCAGGCTGGCACTGGCAGCCTGTCACAAGTGCAGTCCCTCAGGGAGCAACACTGTGTCCTATGCCGCTCAAGAAATTACACTGGAAGAGTTTTCATCTTGAAATGAGAAAAAAAAAATTTTGCATTGAGAACAATCAATAATTGAAACAACCTCCCCAGGGACATAGTGGGACCCCCATCATGGAAGGTTTTCAAGATCCAGTGGGACAGGGTGATAGAAAACCTCATCTTAACTCCCTTTCCCACAAAGGGTTAGATCAGATGGTCTTTTGAGGTGCTTTCCAGCTTGGGCTGGTTTATGATTTTGTGAACATCTTCAAAATAAGGTGATTACTCATATTTGCATCAGTTAAAATAAAAGGGCCTCCCAGGGTTTTAATTATACATAGGGCTTGATTATACATGTCAAGATGCCTTTCCTGAACAGTCATGTTCCCCATGTGGGTGACCAGAGCAGTAACTGGGGAGAAAGCAGAGAAAAGGCCCTCGGGAACACCATGATCCCCTCCCATCTCAGAATTTTACTACCCTGCCCAGTGGCAGACCCAGAGATGCCACCCTTGTCCCCAGACACCATTTTCTCTCACCTGACAGGCCCTTTGGCTTGGGACACTGAAGCCAGCTGGCTGTTTTATAGTTTATTCATTCTTCTCTCTGCTAGTTAATTAGAAAAGGTTATCATTAAATTGCTTCCTGATTAAGCAGCAGTGACTGCCATTAGTCAGGAGCTTGTCAGCCCGAGAAAAACAAGGCAGGCAGGAAGAGTGAGGTGCAACTCAGCACATACCACAACCCTGAGAGTGCTGTTCCTCACCTGGGAATCACACGCAGGCGTGAGCACACCACATGCACATAGGCACTTCCAAACACACCACTTTTAAAGAAAAAGGCTAAGGAGACATCTGGGTCCAGGGTTTTGTCCCAGCTTCTCTCAAGCAAAAAAATCAAACCTTTTTGCACGTTTCAGGTCCTCTTGCTGCAGAGCATTTTTGCATAGCCCCATGGACTCTGTCCAGATCTTCTGCCATTGCCCTTTCTTCCCCTGCAAGCCAGCAGACGCCAGGTGGCTACACAGCAGAGAGAGAAAGGAGTGGATGAGAGACCTTTTTTCTCTCTTTCTTGGCACACTTTTAACTGCCCAGAGCTAGACCAGATCCCAGTGTCACATATGGATGAGAGAGAGAGGGAACATGCCGAGCATAACCCCGCAACTGTTTCCAGCCACCTTCTCCCTGCCAGCAGCTACCCAGCTCCAGGTCTCTAGAGATGGCTCCTTATGCTTTGAGAGATCTTGTGAGGAGAAAAACCAACAACTTGGGAAGAGTGAGAAAAGCCCCATCCAAGGATTGTCCCCAGCTCATGCAAATATTGAGAGCAGAGCATGGTTTGCAGAGAGCTCTGGGCTTGCACGGTCAGGCAGACACAGACAGACGTTGAAGCATTTGCTCCATATGGCACAAGTTCAGCGAGACACAAGGAAAAGCCCGGCCATGCAGAGAACAGACCTACAAAATGAGAGGCCACTTGCAAGCAGTTTGCTGGTGCACTCCAGGTGTCCTTTCAGTCAGAACATGCTTCCAGCAGTGGCTTGGACTCACCCTCCACATACTGGGTCAGGAGCAGAGACGCAGAGTGAAAATCCTGGGAGGGATAGTGCACCCCAGCTCTGCTGCAGAGGAAATGGTTCACATCCTTCCAAAGAAGTGCTCCCATCAGTGAAAAAAAAAATTAATGAGATTCTCACTGTTGTTCTTAGGAGGAACTTTGTCTCATTTGGATCATGCTCTAAACCTCCTCTCAGGGGCTGGGCTGGCTGACTGCTGGCTTCAAATGAGCCAGAACTGCCTGTATTGTACATCTTATATGAGCAGCAGCTAATATCTGAATTATGAGTCTCCCCAAACTCTGGAGCCATTCTGGAATCTCATGGATTATCCTTTGAGGTGTCTTAGGCTGCTCTTTAGAGGTCCTACTACTGTCATATTGAATATATTTGCCCCATTTCACAACTTTGCAAATACACCTTGGTGGTTCTCCACATGAACAGAGCTCACTTCCTTCCTCCTGGATGTGTGGCCAGCCTGCATGCTCTGCTGGGGCTGAATTGCATGCAGGGCTGCTGTGTGTAGCAATGCCATCCAACAGAGAACTGGAAATCAGCCCAGGCTAAGGATCCTGAGATGCCCCAGCTTCTGGGAGGGTTTTGGTAGTCCTTACTGAGCTCAGAGACACCATAACCAATGCCCAGTTGCACCAGTCTTTGACTAGCTGTGGAGAACTTGTAGTTGCACCTTCTGAAATAAATTAATCCCATGTTATCAGTTCATACATAGCTAAGACCAGTCAAGTCTTGGACTGGGGACGTACAGGTCAGCGTTTAAGAGAAGGTTGTGGTGCAGGAAAGTCAGAGAAAGGCCTCTGGAATGTCAGAGCTTGTTCCAGATGGAGAAACCTTTATTTTGGGCTGCTAGGGTCTGACTTGGATACTCTTTACAAGACCTGTCCTCTGTAGGCTGTGGTGTTATGCTTCCTCTGCCCTGCTTTGGGATTCTCAAGGGGGTCAAAGCTGCCATATAGGGGAACTCAAACCCTGGGCTCGGAGGGCCAGGGTGTGCTTGGGTTTGGACAGGTGCTGACCCTGAATCTCTTACAATTCCCTGGATTTCTTTACTTAGACAGTCCCCCTCAACTTTCCCTTCATCATTGAGGCACATTGAGGACCATGGCCTCTTGTCCCATTTGACAGCCTTAGGCCCTTTCCCTGAGCATCTTTGTAGGACAAAATTTGCTGAATCCTGCTGTCCTTGAAACTCCAATGAAGGGGCACCTGCAGAGGCTTTTCAGTGAGTTTTTCGAGTATGAGAAGGTTGCTCCCCTCCTCTGACTGCCAGCTCAGTGAAGACCACTTCTTTTTCCCTGCTTTTTGGCCACCCAGCGCAAGAAAAATTAGTCACTCTCCATTCTTTTGAAGCAGCCTCTTTTATCTACACAGCTTGTT